AAGTCTTTAAAACAATGGTCACCATAATGCCTCTTACTGTCTTCAAAACAGCTGCATAATAAAAATTAAACAGAACAGAATACAAACAATAAAAACAAAACAATGAACACAACAAAGGACTTCAAAACAAGACAATAGTAAACCCAAAATGGCTACCGTAATACATCCTGCTATCTTTGAAATAGCTGCTCATGCCTTCTCAGATATAACAAAATCAAACAAAACAAAAGAGAATAAAACTCAACCCAACAAAACAATACAGAACTTCAAAACAAGACAATAGGTAATCTACAATGGCCACAACCTTAGAAGGAGATCTCACCCTAGCTGCCACACTGCATACTGCTATCCTCTGAACAGATGATCAGAGCACTGGCCCCAGACCTCCAAGGTCAGTTAAATACCACAAGCATCAAATTATATTTTACCTCCATAGCTATCACTGCAGCCTGTGTTTCTCCAGATCAGCCAGTTGCTTGGGTGGGGGATGGGGATTGGTTCTCTTTGCATGCCAGAAGGGGTTGGGGGCTGGCTGTCCCCCTGTGAGAGGCAGCCCATGCATGGCGCTGGTTTGCTTGCTTCTTGGCGAGGCCTGCTTCTCTCCCGCTGTAGTCTTGCAAATGGCACTGACTCACAGGGAGAGGCTTGGGTCTAGCTGTCCCCCTGCCAGCAGCAGCCTGTGTATCGTGCTGGTTCACAGGAAGGGCTTGCTTCTTGGTGAGGCCTTGTTCTCTCCCCGCACAGTCTGCAAATGGCTCTGATTCACGAGGGGCTCTTTTGCTTTGCCTTTGAGATTTCACCCACATCGTGGCATGTATCAATAATTCATTCTTTTCATTACATAAATAGTATTTTATTGTATGGATGTACCACTATTGTTTATCCACTGTCTGGTTCCTGGACATTAGTGTTAGTTCCAGTGTTTGTTTGTTTTCCCAGTACTAGGGATGGAACTTTCCACATGCTAAGTAAATATTCTACCACTGAGTTATACCCCCAACCACAGTTTTAGGGTTTTTTTTTTTTTAAGCATTACAAATAAAGCTGCTATGAAGAGTTATATACAAATCTTCATATGAAAATACTGTATTAGTTTGTTTTCTGATACTATATAAAATACATGAAGCTGGGTAATTATAAAGAAAAGAGGTTTATTCAATTCATAGTTTTGGAGGATGAAAGACCAAGATCATGCAATCTAATGTGTTCAGTCTCTAATAGTGACCTCCAACATGTCACAACATGTTGGAGAGTCAGAAAGGGAACCAATTGTTTACCGAAGGCTCTGAGCATGTGGAATAGACTCACTTATAAAAATCCACTCTCTAGGGCTCACAGATCAACACTAATTCTTGCTGAAACCAGTACCCCCAATGATCCAATTACTTTGCACTAGGCCCCGTCTGTTAAAGGGTTAACTACCTGAACACCATCACCCTGGGGGTAAAGCTGGCACCATATGAGTCTTTGGGGGACAAACCACACTTAAGCCATAGCAATTCAATATGCTTTCATTTCAATTGAATTCACCTATAATACCCTTCATACTTCTAAGGTATACAATTCTATTGGGCAGATGTATGCGTTCACAATTTTATAGGCAATTATAACCATGCACCCACCACCACAATCAAGCCTTAAAGTATTTCTACTGTCTAAAAAAGTTTCCTTGAGTACTTCTTTCCCTGCTCCCAGCCTCTGAAAAACCACTGATCTGATTTCTATCTCTGTATCTTTGTCCTTTTAGAATGTCATATAAGTGGAATCATACAGGGCACACCATTTAATGTCTGGCTTCTCAACATACTTCTTTTGAGATTTATACAAATTTTGCGTGTATCAGTAATTTTTCTTCTTTCCTACTGCTAATTAATATTTCATTGTATGAATGTAAAATAACCTGCTTATTTGCTGTTGGTGCATTTGAATTATTTTCAGTTTGGGCAAATATTAATAAAACAGATACAAATATCCCATATAGTACTTACATTTTTCATTAATAAATATCTAGGAGTGTGACTGCTCAGTCATATGGTAAGTATATGTTTAACTTTGTAAGTATATTGGTTAATAAAATTTGCTTTTCCTTGTCCTTTGACTTTCTTCTTTTTTTCTTCCTTTTTTCCTGGCTTTCTTATCACTGTGAAACTTACGCTATGAAACTGCATCCCCTGGTTCAACCCAACTATCCCTGTTCTTTGCACCTTTTCTGGAGCCACTTTGAGAAAAATCACTGAATGCTCAAACATTGACATAAACTGGCATCCTCTAATCTCAAACGGACCTTTTTCTGTGGGAAGATCATCGTATTTTTCTGGGTAGCTCACATTCTCCAGCAGCGATCTCCAACCTAATCTGTCAACCTTCTCCTGCCTCCTTTCTGCTGAGATCTCAGCACAAGTTACCTCTCTCCTTTCACCTATACCATTCCTTGCCTTCTTCCCTCCTATCACAGAGGACAGCGGGGCTTGCGTCTGATTTTTTTTTTTTCTTTTGCCTCTGATTGTTTAAAACTAACTTCTCCACCTGTGCTTCCTCTCAGTTTTTCTTCGTTCTGCTGAATGCTCCTTTCCTCTGTGTGGTCATCTTCTTCCTTAGGGTGTACTTACCACTGCTCAGTAGCTACCTTGTTTGTTTGGGGTTTTTTTGTTTCTTTCTTTTTCTGTCTTTCTTTCTGGTACATATCACTCCCTGGGGCTCTATATAGCCAAGCAGGAGAGTTTTTTGTTGTTGTTTTCTTTTGTTTTTCCAGGGATGATCAGCTCTCTCAGGAGGAAAACCTAATGATTCGAAGTTTCCTGGACTCCCAGAGAATGAGGATTTATTGTCCTTGATGTAACTCAGATCTTTAGATATTTGGAGCCTCCACACTGGATGCCTACAAGCCCTCAAGATTCCAAGGAGATATGTTAAAGGCTACCAGCAGTAGGGGAAGCAAGGAGTTCAACTGGGAATACCTTCTTTTCATCTGTAATATTTCTAGTGGGCAGAATTTGGCACCTAACAACATTTCACAGCAACAACTTTTTAAAAACAACATCTGGACTGGGGATTTAGCTCAGCAACGTAAGCTCCTGCCAGGCAAGTGCAAGGTCTTGAGTTTGATCCCTGGTACCAAATAAATAAATAAAAAACATCTGCCCTGGACTTTCACTTATATTCCTAAAAGCTCTCTATAAGGTCCCAGTTGGAGCTGACTCTCCCAGCCCCCAACCTGCTTGCCAGCAGAAGCACTACTGTCTGCAGGGAACTCAGCTCAGCACAGAAAAGGAAATAGAACAAGGAATTTTGTAGGTCCTGGGGACATCTGGAGACACCCAAAAGTTTACATCAGACTCCTCAAAGTACTCTGTCCACTGAGATGCAAGACTGCCAGCAAACTTTGACAACACATGTTCATTGAGATCTTCCCACCTAATGTCCCCTGCCTTTTCTACATCCCTATAAAAGTGGCACCCTTCTCTTTGTTTGGAGCAGATGGTCTTTATCACTGTCTCTGCCTGAACCCAGCTACAATAAGTTCCATGCCATGATGCCTTTATACAAGCCTGGCGATCTCTGCTGGTTCTCTCCTCTTCCCACTTGGTTATATTCATAGCTGCTCTCCTCCTTTTAGAGATGGGGGAAGATGTATTCCTTCAAAAAGGAATTGCTTGGAGTTGATAAGCTGTCAGTTTACCAAGTGATCCTTGACAAACCTCTTCCATGCACTGGGTCTTATTTTCTGTAAAATATGAGATGGGGAGGAATAGGTAAGAACTTGGCTCTCATTTTCTTCAAAGTGGAGCAATTCTAGAAGGAAGGCAGGGAATCCCCTTTACATACATACACACACATGCATACATACACTACTTCACATATAGGAAAACATGCTAGTCTAAGGTTATGCAAACAGGAAACTAAATGATAGGTGGAAGAGGAATACTATGTAGCAACAAACACAACTGACAGATAACCACATGCTAAATCTGACATAATTTTGAATGAAAGAAGTTACCTACAAAGAGCACACATACTGTCCGAGTCTAATCACTAGGTTCTAAATTCTAGGATATGAAAATGAGTAAAACTGTTAGAAATCCCGACTTTCTATTTCTGGATCTAGGTGTTAGTTAAATGGAAGTACCCAGCTTTAGAAGTTGGGCTGAATTACTTTCACTGCATTAGGCTACTCTATAGACCCACTGTGAAGACTTGGGTTTTTATTCTGGGTGAAATAAGGTTTTTTTTATCGGTACCAGGGATTGAACTCATGACTGCCTGCTTACAAGGCAGGTGCTTATGCTGCTGAGCTAAATCCCCACCCCCCAAAATTAGAAGTTTTTGCAGATCTGAAGCACAAGGACCTAATCTGTGAAGTTTTTGCTTTTTTTTTGTACCGGGAATTGAACTGATGACCCCGCTTTTGCCTGGCGAATCTGCAATATTTTATAAACACCTGTCTAGCAGATGTACTGGACAGTGGACAAGAGAAGAAAGGTGAAACCAAGAAGCTATTTCAACAATCCAGGCAAGGCGTGATGGTGGTTTGTTTTGGTGGCAGACGTGTGAGAACATTTTAGTTGCAGGGTTAATTACAGCTTGCATTGAATGTATTGCTAATGTACTTCTACAGTGGGTTTTTCCACCTTGGACCACAGAGGATGGTAGTGATTGGAGAAGGTGAGGGAAGATTAGGGGTTGCCAAGGAGACAGCCGCTTAGATCTGAAAGTCTGAGAGGATTCTAGGCCTCCAGGCCTCTGGCGCAGCAATAATTCTGTAGCTGAGCCCACCAACCGCTTTCCATTAACCATGCGCAACAGGCCGATGGGAGCCTATGGAAAGCACAGGACTTTCAGAAAGCGGGACGCGCGCTCTTCGGGAATCGTAGTTCAGCGTCTCTGCGCAGGCGCACTGGCTCCGGGATGCTTGCGCGCGCAGCCGTTGCAGGACGAGCTTCTGGAAGCTCATTGCGGCTGAGCTGGCTGCGGAAGTGGGTGCAGGTATTGGTTGTCCCGGGCCCCTTGTACCGGCGCTGCGGTTGGATGACCGGCCAGGAGCGCGCCGCTGGGGCGGGATGCGGGTGGAGAGCAACCGCCCCATCAGGCTGTGTCTGAGGCTGCTTCTGCGGGAATCTGGCACTTTCCTGCAAGACGGAGCCGCCGGCTTCCTTCGTTTCCTTTTTTGCGCCCGCCGGCTGCAAATTTAAGGGTTTGGGGCGGGATAATTTCTTGCTCGAAGTGTTTTAAGAGTGTGTGGGGGGGTGGTGGTAACAACAGCCAGATGGTTATCAGCATCCCTGAGTATTTCCCGGATACCTGTAGCATCCTTTCTCGCTGGTACAGATCATCCAAAGTACCTCCAGGTATTGCAAATACTGTAACCCCAGAGTGAAAACCACCCTCTCCCTTTCTTCCCCGGACGGGAACCTGAGCGTGCGTCACATTTTCACTGAGCCTCTGCGGTAAGTTGCCCGCAGACTGAGCCGAGTGCGCTTAGTCACCTGCGGAGTCACCAGTATCCACAAGGGCGCCAGGTGCCTAGTGGGCGCCTCATGCCTGGAAAAGGAATAAACTGCGCTGTGCGTACCTAGTGTGCTCCTCGGGCGGAGATGCGTTACTATTGACATGCTAATTACGATAGGAAGCGCGCGTCGCCTGTTTTGTTCTTTGGGAGCTGCGTTATTTGCTGGACCCTTGGTGAGAATGGAGGCTCATCTGGACGGCCCAGACCCCAGAGCGCGCCCTCCCAGCTCATTGTCGATGCTCGCTCATTTGTACAGTGAATGAATACATGCAGCGCAAGGCAGGGTGTGCACAAAGGATCATTTTGGGAACCAAAGAGAGCTTCACGTAAGCGGTGACAGTTGAAAAGAGTAAGGTTTTTTAAGAATGAATGAAAGTCTGGTAGGAGAGAAGAATGCCTCATCCTATGGAGAGGGAATAACTGGATAGGAGAGCATTGAGGCTGAGAAGGGGGAGGTATTTCTTTGTGTCTGTAGTGTCCCCAGGGTAGGTTAGAGAGCTCGAGGTGAGGTCACCCCTGCCTGTTCCCATGGTTATACCACCCAGTGGTGGGACTTTATCTGATACTGCTGGCCAGTATAAACAGGGGTGAAGGAGTGTAAATGGGTGTGACAAGTCACTGCACATCAGAAAAAAATCCTTTAGCTACAGTGTGAGACCAGATAGAAGAAGCCATCCTCAGGCAGTTCAGTGGATATCGTGGAGAGGATCTTGGGAAATGAAGTTGCCAGAACTTGGTTATTAATTATGTGAAAAGAAAGGAGCAAGAGAAATGTGATAGTCAGATTTGAAGTCAGGCTTCTGAGTTGAGCTGCTGGTGGGACATGTGGCAGTTTGAGAGCAGACAGAAGTTATCAGTTTAAGTAGGTTTCAGACCATATTCCTGGGAACAATGAGCCTTTTCTGATAAGATTTATAAGCCAAAAGTAATTGCTTTCATGGAGGATATCTTTACCTGAACATGGCTTTTGATCTATGCAGAGAATTACCCCTTAATAAAGTAGTGGAGCTAGGGCCGTTCTGAGCCTCCTGAGACTATGTATGTGAACAAAACCAATGTCTTTAGGATTAACAATGTGTTTCATTTATCTATGTCTTCTGTTTCTTTTTCAGAGTTACTGCAAGACTGTACACTGGATCCCTGGAAACCTTAATATTTGACTGCGTATAGTGCTTTTGGTAGACTGTCCTGATAATCTATAGGGGACTGGATCCCTGCTTGTGATACACAATGCAAGCAGTAGTACGCTTGAACAAGATAAAGGCCTTCTTCCCAGGCCCTTCTACTGTAGCCTCAAATGAACAAAACAAGGTCCCAGGAATCAGTACTCCTGGGAACCAAGGAGCTATCTTAAGTGGAGACAAGGCTGATCTAGAGTCTTTCAGACAAAAGTTCAGGCGGTTTTGTTACCCACGAGAGTCTGGACCTAGGAAAGCCCTGAATCAACTCTGGGATCTCTGCAGTCAGTGGTTGAGACCAGACATTCATACAAAAGAACAGATTTTAGAACTACTGGTATTTGAGCAATTCCTGACCATTTTGCCTGAGGAGATCAGGATTTGGGTAAAGTTACAACACCCCAAGAGTAGTGAGGAGGTGGTGACGCTGGTAGAGGACTTAACAGAAACACTTGAAGAAAAGGAAGGTGAGTTTTTTTTTTTTTAGATGGAGGGAGGAAGTGGGAGGATCTCAAGATGTGAAATAAACTTAGAGGAAGGAGTTAACTACTAAGGAGGAGTCTTAAAACTAAAATTTAAGAATTAGAGATTATGTAATCAAAGATGAGGGATTAATTTAAGGAAACTATTCCACCTTACACAGTGCTGGCAATTGACACTTTACTATAAGGACTTTAGTCTCAGAGACCTGAATTTTGGGAAAGTAGCATGTTGCAGTGACAAATCAGAGAAGAGTCAGGAAACCCACATTTTAGACACACCAGTTTGTTGCATGACCACAAATTAAATATATGGAGGTAAACACTATTTCCTGTATCTCAGAGCTCCTGGTAGAATAAGTTGCAACGTGGCACCTCTCCATAATTAGAGATGATGAGGATGTCTCCATAATAAAGAATTAGTTGCTAGCATTTTGTAAGGAAGGACATTTTCTTTAATCTTCATTTGCATTTGATTATGCAATTTTAATTTTTTACTGGTTGTCTAAAATCAATAAAGCTGCCAGAGAGCCTGCTGGTGATCCCAGGAGCAGAGTGGGTTCTTGAGACCTGCTTGGTGCCTTCATTCTAGACATTCTCATGACACTTGAGGGAGGCATTGTGCTGGGACTAGGTGTGAAAAAGAAATGCCATTTTACCTGAAAATATCTTGTAACTAGAAATATTTAAAAACTTATGCAGGTTAATACTTTAAACCCAAGGGTGTATGGAATGGAGGAAGTCAGTTTTCCTGAGTTTAAGAATTGAAAGGAAAAAAAAAAAAAAAAAAAAAAAAGAACTGAAAGGACTTTTCAATGAGGTAGGGGGAAGAAAAACCCAGAGTTTTTATATGAACCATCTCTGTTCTGTTTTCAAAGAGTCAGGAGACTATGTCTTACATTTTCTCCAGAAAAACATAAAATGTTGTGATACTATGAAATACATATCTATGGGTAGGTCCTAGCTCAAGCTCCTATAATCTTGTAAATTTCTGAGTAACTGGAGCAATAACTTTTATTAAAATTACCCCTTTCTCTTTGGCACCTAAAACTTGTGCCAAGATAGCTTCTGAGCTATCCATGTGAAAGGCAGTCCTTTTGTTATTTATAACAAGCTGTTTCCATATGTACTTTATTAATGAGTAGATTTTTGAAAGTCCCTAAATAAGTATCACTTGGGGCCTGATTACCAAGGGAACCAACCTGCATTTAGAGAATTGGAGCTCTAAGCCCTGCCTTCCACTACGGAGAGGGAGGAGGGCCAGAAATAAGTCATGTCTTCATGAAGTATCTTGAAAACTCCAAAACAATAGGTTTGAGAACTTCCAGGTAGCTGAACTCATGGAAGTTAGTGGAGGAAAAGAGCATGGAAAGAATTTATGTCCCAGTATGTCTAGGCTTTAGCCAATTTCAGAAGCTCCCGACCTCTTCCTATGTGTTTTGCCTTTACTGTCTTCCATCTGGCTGTTCACCTGTATGTATCCTTTGTAACAATGGGTAAACATCACTAAATATTTTTTGTGTTCTTTTGCGCCATTAGAATGATTCCACTCCAAGTAAGGGGTAGTGGGAACTCTGATTTATGGCTGTTGGTTAGAGATTTGGAGGCCAAGAGTGGCAACTGAAATGGGGGACAGTGTTGTGGGACTGAGACTTCAACCTGAAGAATGTAGTGCTATCTGCAAATAGCATCAGAATTAAATTGGAGGATACCAAATTGGTATCCATTGGAAAGTGCATTGCATAATTATCATGGTTGGTGTGGAGAACCCCTCAATACACATTTGGAATCACAGAAGAGTTCCATTATATAGAGGGAAAATCTTGTGTTTTCCTCTACTATATTATTGCAGAAACATATGCCATATATATAAGGGTTTTTTTTAGTCTGAAGAAGATTTTTAGTCTGCTGATTTCATTTGAAAGACTGGACTGATTCCCCCCCCCCCCCCCCGCCACCCTTTCCTAGCTCCAGCTGTTCAAGATTCTGCTGTTAACCAAGAGGATAACTCAGGAGAAGATAAACTGGTTGCTGTTCCAAACACGGAAACATGTGTAAGCTTCCTCTCACTGGTTTTCATTCTTAAATGAATACTTAACTGAGCTCTTAGTAGTATAAGTAAAAAATAATACAGGGAACTCACAGTTCATCTTCACATGTTGTGAAGATCTCACACATCGCGTGATCACAATGGCACAACTGACTCAAAACACGAATGTTTCCTAAAAGTCCCCAGCTACATCCAGTAGAATTACATAGAAGTAAAATATATTGTTCCTGTGATAAAGGGCATCTCCAGCTAAAAAAAAGCAGCCTTCACAATGTCAGTAAAATGACCTAAGAAACTGTGCTACGAATCAGTATTTTCTGAACATTCTAGCTAATGTAATAAGGTAAGAAGGAAATGAGAATATAAATGTTAGTATGAAGGAAGCAAATTTGTACTGCACACAGTATTATTGTCCATTTGGAAAACCTCACAAAACCAAATGAGCAAGACTGAAATGAATGTAATACCTGGGAGAAGCAGATGGTTACAAACCAACATGTTTTCTATGTACTAGTAATTATTAATCAGGAAAAAAAAAGTGAGTAATAGTGCTGAAACAGTCCAATAATGAAGTCCATAACATCCTGATCGCTGGCACTTGTGGATGTTACTTCATTTAGAAGAAGGATCTTTACGGGTGTGATTGAATTAAGGGTTTTAGAATAAGGAGTTTATCCTGGATCATAAGAGGAGGTGCTAAGTGCCATCACAGGTGTCTATATTAGAAGCAGAGGAAGTTTGAAAATACGAATCAGGCTGGGGATTTAGCTCAGCGGCATAAGCGTCTGCCTTGCAAGCAGGCAGTCGTGAGTTCGATCCCTGGTACCGATACAAACGAAAAAAAAAAAAAGAAAGAAAAGAAAATACGAATCAGAGCTGATGTGAAGAGGGAGGCAGTTTGAAGTGATGGGGCCAAAGCGAAGGAATACTGGCAGTCACCAGAAGCAGCAAGAGGCTGGGAACTGCCACTCTGGAGCTTCTAAAGGGAATGCATCCCTGCCAACACCTTCATCTCTTTCTGGCCTCCAGAACTGGGAAAGAATACATTTCTATTGTTTTAACCCACTGAGGTAATGATAATTTATGATGTTTCATCCCTGGGAAGCTGCTAATGGAACTCTTATACTGCCTGTCAGATTTCATACAGAGCATGCAGTAGAAAATGTAATAAATCAGTTTGCTTGTTTATAAATACAGACTACTTCCACGTGTGTGTTACTGAACACAAAAGATAATTGCTGTACATAAACTGAAAGTTAAAATTTGGAAGGTGGTTGGTGATAATAATTACCTTATTTTAATCCTGCAAATTTGGGCTTTGGGAATGCACATCATACCCTTCATTTCTGATTGTCTTTTTAATTCTAGAAATTAGTGTGTTAGGGTTAAAATTCAGTGTCAAGGTTGATGTATGTGTACAGTATTTAACACCAGAGACTGAATGGGAGAGGCAGAGATTATGTAATACCTTATTCTGCACTTGTAATGTCATAAAATAGCTACTCCGTAGTTTATTTTAGAATTTTTGAAAACTTAAATACTATGAAAACTATCTTATATCCTAACCACTTTTATGAATTCTTAGGATCTGTTTGGGAGTAATGTAATGTAAAAGGACTGTGTTTGATCTTCTAGGAATCAATAGCATTCAAAGATGTGGTCATGAGCTTTTCTAGAAGAGAGTGGAAGAAGTTGGAGCCTTCTCAAAAGGAGCTGTATAAGGATGTGCTACTGGAAAACTTAAAGAACTTAGAATTTCTGGGTAAAGATACCCTTTCTTGATGTTCTAGCAACTAAGCTTGGTATCTTTCTGCCCTGTTACTGAAAGACAGGTGCAATGTGGTCCCTCTCTTGGTCCCTGTTCCATATTTTATTTTGGCTGGGCATCCAGGAACTAATATGACTGATCTTAAAAATGGATTCTAAAAACTACTTTCCTGTGATATTTCCTCCCAACAAAAAAGGTCTTCATTGTTTGGAAGCGTAGAGCCTCGTTTCCCCCGTTTCCTCATCCAATTTCAATATCAGAGTCTGTGTGTTTGACAGCATCTTTTCTCTTGCTGGGATGGTCCAGTGCTATACATGTATGTTGAGGTGTCTTATTCTATATGTAACCATTTCCATTTTTTCTCTATGAGCAGGCTTTCCAGTTTCCAAATTAGATTTGATTTCCCGGCTAAAATGGGTTGAATTACCAAGACTAGTGGAAAAAGAACTCTCAAAACACTCCAGGCCAGGTAAGTTGGTGAAAAGTTCATAAGGAAATGAAAATGGTTGTTTATCAAGTCTGTTGGAAAGAGCCTTTGTTGGGCTCGTGATGCAAAAATATAAGGATAATTAGAAGAGATCACTTGCCTTCTGGATTTTTTTTCCTTCATACTGGATACTGGACCCAGGACCTTGGGAGTGCTAAGCAAGTATTCTTCCACTGAGCTAAATCCTCAGCCCTTATTTTATTTTTTAATAGTTTAACTTAATTTTGACAAGGTCTCACTAAATTATCTAGGCTAGCCTCAGAGTCACAGTCGTTCTTTCTTCTGCCTCAGCCTGGTGACTGGCTAGGATTCCTGGTGTACCAGCAGTGCACTGATTGGAATTTGTTGTTAAACAGGGTTGTGCTATGTAGTTAAGGTTGGTTTTGAACTTAATATGTTGCCCAGGCTGGTCTCATTAATGCCAATCCTCCTGCCTCAGCCTCCCTGGCTCTGAGATTACAGGCATGTGCTACCATGATCAAAAGCCTGAAAGCCTGAAATGTTTTTTTTGGTTTTTTTTAATGAGAGAGACTGTTGGTCTGGGTTCTTGAAGAAACAGATGTCAAGACATGACTAACTACACAGATTTATTAGGACAAAATCCAGTGAAGAAAAATGAGGAGGGAGTTGGAAGAAATTGGAAGAGCTGTAAGAATATGATGCAGTTCTGATACCTATGAATGACAGAAGAAAGGTTGGTGAGGGAGAGTCTTTTTAGTGTGTGTTTCTGAGACTTTTCAACTTTAGGATGGTGTGGAAATGATATATATTCAGTAGAAACTTTGCTTAGAATTTTGAATTTCTGATCCTGAGCAGCAGTATGTAGTCTGACACTCTTACATTCCTGAGCAGTGCTGCTCACCAGAGCTCCCATCAGCCAGCCGCAGGGTTGTGGAGGGGAATCTGTGCTATACAGTGCTGAAGGATAAGTAGGTCTTCATCCAGTTGACTGCATGTGTGGTGATTCCATTTTTGTGAAAAGAAAAAAAAATGCAAATGTGCACATATGTCTAAGTACATAGATTAAATAAGAATTTTTCATGTCTCAGGAAATTCATGTTAACACTGGTATTACTTTTGAGGTATAAGATTATCCTATCTTTACCCTTTTTATCTTCTTAAACCTTAACAGTGTTTTAAAGTGCATTTTAAAAAATAAATTGTTATATGTATGAATATCTTTATTTTATTTTAAATATCTTTAAAAAATAAAACCAATAGTGCGTCTTGCTCTATTCCATCTCTTAAACCATTCATTTTGCCAATTTCTTGACTGTTTCCAAAATAATTACATAACTGAAGAACAATTGTATTATGTTATCTAAATAGCGTTTTGGAGAGTGACTCCAAAGATAGATCTTTTTTTTTTTTTGTCTTTTTCTTTTTATATCGGTACCAGGGATCGAACTCACAACCGCCTGCTTGCAAGGCAGGTGCTTAGGCCACTGAGCTAAATCCCCAGCCTCTTAAAGATAGATCTTAAATCGGTTTAGATTGCTATAGAATCATTATATAAAATATATCCCTTGCCCAAGATGCTGTGTAGAGGAAGCAGCTTGTAGATGTACAAGTTCTTTAAAAAGTCACTTACAGAAGCTGGGGATTTGGCTCAGTGGCATAAGCGCCTACCCAGCAAGCATGAGGTCATGAGCAATCCCTGGTACCAAAAAAAAGTCACAACATTGGAGAAAATTTTTTTGACAAAGCAGAATCATAGCCATAATTTTATGGAAGCTAATGCAGATCAGCCAGGTGTGGTCCTGCACATATGTATGAGTCCATGGGCAGCGTGGGCTACATAGTGAGTTCAGGGCCATCCTGAACTACATAGTAAGACCTTGTCTCCTAGAACAAACAAACAAAAACTAATGCGAATCAATAAAGAACATTAAGTACATTAGAAAGGTGAGTTCAGGGAATAAATAAGCAAACTATATCTAATGATTGATTATCATATAACTGAGTAAAATCATTTTTATGTTGAATGGATAGGAAATAATGATAAATGAAGAACAGTAAGAATACATGTACAGTTTTCTAAACTGAATATTTTCCATAAAAGAATTCATATAACTTCTGGGTAATAGGATTTTGAGTAAGTGTATCTTACAGTTTTCTGTTTAAAGCAATTTTATGAAAGTGATAATGGGACCTTGATGAAATGCCAAGTTGAATGATGTGGCTAGTAAATTAATTCCAAGATCTGAGAAAAGCACAGTCAGGATACAGTATTGGAAAAAACTTTAAAAACTGTGAGACTTGACACCTAAGCCCTGTCAAATGTATATGTGATGGTGAGGGTGCTGTGGGATTACATGCTAGGTAGTGTGAAGTTTTAAGACCAAAAGAATAGTAGCAAAAGTGCTCCAGTGTAGGAGGGACTAGAAATGTCTTCCTGGTTAGAGTGTTCTATGGTTGATAGGGCCAAGTTGTGGTAACTGTTAAAAGTCTAGCATATGACATTGCATATTTGTGATATGATGAACATTTTCTATAAAATGTTTGCTTTGTTTTGAGAAGAGACCATATGGTATAGGAATCAAAAGCATGGGCTTTGGTGTTAGGCTAGTTTAAAAATCTATCTTATAATGCATGTGACCATATGCAAGCTGCTTACACTCAGGTGTCTGGATGTCACATCCATAAATCAGGAATAATAGTAAGTGATACTATTTGGATTGTGGTGAAGATGCACAATAATGCAAATAAAATGCTTAGTGTGCTAGCATTCTGTAAATATGCAGTAAATATTAATATTTATGAATATTAATATTAATTTATGAAGGGAAAACTTTAGATGTAAGGAAAATAGGTTTGAAATAGAAATTTATTTTTATTTATTTATTTATTTGTTTTGTCTTTTTCCTTTTTTATCGGTACCAGGGATTGAACTCATGACTGCCTGCTTACAAGGCAGGCGCTTATGCCGCTGAGCTAAATCCCCAGCCCCCGAAATAGAAATTTGAAGTGAGGATGAGAACCTGCATTTATTAACTATGAAGTACTTTTCATATTCTTTAAAACTTTTCCTAACCTTTGTTTTTTATCTTACTGGACTATCTTGCTGTTGTTTTGTTTATTTAATAGAGCATTAATTGAAAACGATCTGAGACAATTTCCATATCATGATTTTCTGGGTTTCTATTTCAGTCTCCAATACCTCAGCTTCTTTAGTTGCAAGCAGGAAATGTTCTGTCGTGTTATTTCTTTCAGAGTGCGAGCCTCCAGGTGAATTGGAGGAATCTGTTCAAAACCGTGATGTTTTCATGGAAGAATTAACTTCAGAGAAAATAATAGAAGAATGCTTCAAGGATGATGGTTGTGATCTGATAGCAGAATTCAAGAAACGTTATGGCAAATCCAAAGAGGATCGTAGCACACAGCAGAGTTCAAAAGGACCAGTCACAGAAAAGGAAACTCACAAGAGAAACAATAAAGGTGAAGTAGTAGACCCAGAAAAGAGCCCCTTTGGAAAGAAATTCAAACACCTGAAAGCCTATTTAAGGAAGAAGTCCAAGAAGTATAACGAAGGCAAGAAACCCTTCAATTTTCATTCAGATCTTGTTCCGAAAAGCAGAGAACATGTTGCAGAAAAGTCACAGAAACGCAGTGAAGCTGGAAAAGACCAACATTGCGCTTTATGTTTAACTGAGCATCAGAAATGTAAGAAAATTTATTTGGGGACTAAATCCCGGAAATGCAGTAACTGTGGGATAGCTTTTACACGAAGTTTATCCCATTGTAATAGAAGAAGCCCTATGTGTGAAAAATGTCACAAGAAATTACATCAAGGCGCAACCTCAGAGGAAGACAAGGGAACTAACTCTGGAAAAACTACTCATAAATGTAGTAAATGTGGAAAAGCCTTTTGTTATAGTGCCTCACCTAGCAAACCTCATAGAATTCACACTGCAGAGAAACCCAGTATGTGTGCTGATTGTAGAAAAACTCATAATAAAAAAGCTCATAGTGGTAGTTCATCACTCAAGTCACGTCGCAAAACTAAGAATGTAGACAAACCCTACAAATGTAAACACTGTGGAAAAGGTTTCACCCTGTGTACTGATGTCAGTAAACATCAAAGAATTCATACTGGAGAAAAACCCTTTCAGTGTAAAGAGTGTGGGAGACCCTTCAGTGACAGTTCAACTCTTGCTCAACATCAGCGTACTCATACTGGAGAAAAACCTTACAAATGCAAAGATTGTGGGAAATCCTTTACTCATAGCTCTTCCCTTGCCAAACATCAGAGAATTCATACTGGAGAGAAACCATATTCATGTAATGAATGTGGAAAATCCTTTAGACAGACTTCTTGCCTTACACGACATCAGAGAATTCACACTGGAGAAAAACCATATTCATGTAAGGATTGTGATGCCAAGTTTAGCCATTTTTCATCTTTTGTTTATCATCAAAGACTTCATAAAGGAGAAAAACCCTTCAAATGTGACCAGTGTGAGAAAGCCTTCCCTACCCCTTCCCTTCTCACTCGTCATCTGAGAACCCATACAGGTGCGAAACCTTACAAATGTAAAGACTGTGGGAAAACCTTCAGTCAGAGTTCATCTCTTAATGAACATTACCGAAGTCATACTGGAGAGAAACCTTACGAATGTGACTATTGTGGAGCAACCTTTAGTCGGAGCACAATCCTTGCAGAACACATGAAAATTCATACCAGAACAAGTGACTATGAATGCAATAAATGTGACAAAAAATTTAAAAGTATTTCAGGCCTTATCAGACATCGGGCATCTCATGCTACAAGGTAGTCTTGCAAACACAGTAAGGTGGGGTTGGAAATATCCAAATTACTAGAAAACCTGAATATAAACAATATTGATTAATAGCTGCAATTTCAGTGGGTTAGCAGCTAGGGAAATTACTCTTCTCCATACTTGTTCATTTCGAGGCTATCACCTGCTGATAAACAGTAAGTAGTACAGTGGATAAAGTCATGTGGAAAGTGAAGAAGACATGAGGTGTAAAATGATTCTAAAAGGCCAAACTTAAAACTATAAAGTGTTTTTCTTCAGGATATTTCCCTCTCTTGCTCCTGCTCTGCTGACATGGATCATGATAGCTTGACTTATATTACATGGGCAATGTGTCCCATATTGACAGCTGTATTCTACATAACCTTACGTCTGAATTTTAGGTTGTGTACCAGTAGAACAAATGGAAGGGACTAATGATTTCTGAGGGTTTTGTTTGTTTGTTTTTCTTATCTCTCCTAACTGATGCTGTAGAAAGTGTTAAATGTTTTTTATTTTTTGGAATTTTCTTGTTTCTCTGATAGAAAATTGTTCTCTTATACCATACTAGACTTCTATTTCAGTGAGAGTGCCAAATACTCTAGCTGTTTGATGCAGGAATCCTTAGAATGTGATAGGAATAAGATAGAGCTCAAACTCTTTGCCTTCAGGGAATCTCTAATGACATAAAATGCCCCAAACTTTTTATTTTGGTTACTAACTGAAGGGATCAAGCATCCAAAAAACTCAAACTTGAGTTAACTCAGTCATGAGAGTCACAGTCCCAGGAGAATAGATTGGGGTTGGGGAAAGAAACTTGCTGAAAACAGCTGTTCTGAGTGGGTTTTCATTTGCAACACAGAATTACATATTTTAAAATTTGTGTCTGTAGCAAATACAGCTTCCTGCAGTTGCAGTGTAAGCATTCAGTATAGCAGCAACCACATCTCTTAGATTGGGCCCTGAGTCATGCCTTGGGTTGTCTGCAGTGCAGGATTTTTACGTGTGTGTGTGTGTGTGTGTGTGTGTGTGTGTGTGTGTGTGTGTGCGCGCGCGCTTAGTTGCCATTGTTTCAAATTAGAGACTTTCATGTTCAAACAAGGTTTCTCTTTTAAAAATAATTATAAGGGCTGCCCATACTGGACTCAGATCTCTACAGCACTCAGCTGGTTCTGAGTAGCGACTGTCTCCTTTAAATGGAGGATCTACTTTCTTACTTGTCAACTTCTCTTCTGTGTATAGCCCAACTTTTCCATTGTAGAAATTTAATATTCTAGTCCTCTACCATCTGGAGAATACGTAATGCAGTAAAATTTATTATTTTCCTTTTTCTTTTTCTTTTTTTTTTTTTTTGGTACTGGGGATTGAACTCAGGACCTTGTGCTTGCCAGGTAGGAGCTGTGCCACTAAGCTGTACCCCTGGCTCCACTAAAATTTAAAGAGACCCCATTTCATAGCTAGTCAGGTTCAAGGAAAGGATAATAGTATTGATGATGTTTTGAGTTACTTTTGAGTGTGTGTGTAATTAGACCTCCAGGGGTAGGAATATACGGGTATTGATGAATATTCTTTTAAAATTTTATTGGTGAAGTCGGAATAATTTCTGACTGGAAAAGAAACTAAAGATTCTGAGTGATTTAGGTTTGGGTCTCAGGTCATGGGGCTCCAGAGAAGTGCTAGTGACTTGGCAATAGTGTAGAAATAAGTTCTTAAAGTTGAAATTTGAGGCAGTTTCTGTAAAAAACAACTGAGCTGTGGAACTCTGAGCTTATGAAAGCGAAGTGATCTTAATGCTGATCTGAGACTCAGGAACATTTGCTGTAATTTAAGGTGCTTAGGTTTGAAATGCTACCTCTGGATGTGGGTTTTGGTTTTTCTCTGCGTATCTCTCAACCTTCAAAGCCTGCAGTTCAAACACTGCTGTGTGATGATTTGATACATGTAGTTATCCTAATGGATGTACCAAATGCACTTTAGCCAGGAAAAGAATATAGGCTGTAATAATATATTATTATAATATAATAATATATTATATATTATATATTATATATTATTATTATATATTATATATTATATAATATATTATAATATAATATATTATATTATAATATAATATATTATATAATATAATATATTATATAATTATAATATATTATATAATTATATATAATATATTATATAATATAATATATTATATTATATTATAATATATTATAATATAATATATTATAATATATTATAATATATAATATTATATATTATATATTATATTATTATATATTATATATTATATATTATATATTATTATTATATATTATATATTATATAATAATATACTAGTATTGTAAGGATTTTTTTTTCCTGAAAAATTATGATTTGTGGAAAGAACTTAACAAATTGGTAAAACTCTTCTTGAGAGGAGATTTGTTATAGGTTGTTTACTGAGGTTAGACTTCCCATCTTTCATAAGTGGATGTTATCCCAGTATCACTTGGGCATTGGCAGTATAAACTTCCTTTACAATTTTATCAAGGTATAAATTATACATGAAAAACATTTCAGCTGTACAGATCAGTAGATTTTAGTAAATTTACTGAATTTGTACAGCCTTCATCACAACGCATTCTTGACACTGTCATCCCCATTTTCCTTATACTAACAGTCAATCACATCCTTAATCCAAGGCAGCCATTAATCAGTTTATATGTACAGTTACCCGTACCTGGGCATTTATGTGGTCCTTTGTTTCTTTTTTTCATTAACATGTTTTAAATTTATCTAAGACGTAGTGTATCATATTACTCTCATTGTTAAAATTTTTATTTTCAGCATGACTTGTACACTACAGTAAAGCAAAGAGGGAAAACATCTCTTGCTTTAAAATTCCATATTCATGATAGAAATTAGTCTTTATCTTGGAAAATTGTCAAAAATTATGTCATGTGTTTGAATTTAGGTAGTTAATTGATGTTTTGTAAATTTAAATGTCCTTTGAGATGGAGTATCTCCCAAGTTTTTTTTTGAGCAGTGTGTTATGTCACATGATGTATCTAAAACTAAAGAAAAAGACTCAAAAAATTTCAAATTTTGAATCAACTGGTCTTTGATATTATTATAAATATATATCCTATAATGTGATTTGCTCATGTATATTGTGTGAACAAAATTGTTTAATGGTATATTTGAAAACTTGTTTTCCTCAGTGAGTTTTTTAGATGTCATTTGCTCACAAGTTTCTAAATTATAGTAACATGATTATTTTTACTGCATCTAACATTTGTGTGTGTGTAAAAACAAGCTGTTTTATAGCTGGGTAAGTTTACAAACAGATCCTTTTAAAATTTGCTTAAAACAGTTTTTTTCTTGGAAATTCTTGTCTGACTAATTTGATGGATTTTTTTTGAATAAATTGTTGAAAACTTCTGTAAATCTTAAATATTATCTCAAGTATTGTCTACTGTATTGTCTTACACTGGAATTAAATAGTGCTCTTGTTTGCTGCTGTAAATTATAATTACAATTTATCATTGAACATCTGCTATGCTCTTTTATTCCCATTTTTCTTGACTGGATATAGTATAAGCCTCTGTGTCTTCACCAAATTCTGCCTCAGTAATATGCCTTTGTTTACATTTTTAATGTTTCCCCAGTTTTTAACTAGAAAATAACTATAAAACAGTAGATAGAAATTTATGGTTTATGTAACATTATAACTTGCTGTCTGCATAGGTATACTCTTACACTATTTGTGTAATATACCCAAATTAACCTATTGTGATATTTTATCTGTGCATAAAGTTATCTGAACTGAATCAGTCTTTGATACTGAGTAGATTGATGGTGTTGTTTACATGTGACACTAAAAATAATGCACGTTCCTGAATAAGTCACAACAGTGTCCTATGCGATGCAGTGGCTAAAGTGAATTGTGGTTCTATTAAATAAAGTTGTGTTTAATGAAAAAAGTGCTTCACCTTAGGGTTCATTTTTTTGTGTAGCTCATTTTTTTATTAGTGTCATCTGTACCCCTGTTGATAGTTTTCTTTTTTGAATCCATTATCTGTTTAACTATATTTCTCTGAGCTTGCTGAGTACATTATTGATCTGTTTGAAGAAAACAAAACAACAAAACAAAGCAAATCAGAACAGAACAATGCAAGCAACACAGGACTTCACAATAAGACAACAGGCCATCAACAGTGGCTACCATAATGTTTCTTGTTTTCTTCAAAACAGTTGACCATGCCTTCACACACAATAATATCAAACATAACAAAATAGTATAAAACCATTCAAGAGAATGAAAGCATTGCAGGACTTCAAAACCAAATAACAGGAAATGAACAATGGCTAGTATAATATCTCATTTTTCTTTCTTTTTTTTTTTTTTTTTTTTTTTTTTTGCGGAACCAGGGATTGAACTCACGACTGCGCATTTGTAAGGTAGGTGCTTATGCCGCTAAGCTAAATCCCCAGCCCCTATCTCATTTTTCTTAAAAAATTTGTTTATACCATCACACATAATAAAATCAAATAAAACACAAGAAGATAGAACCAATCAAAACAACAAAAGCATGGTAGGACTTCAAAAGAAGATAATAGTAAATCAGCAATGGCTGCCATAATGTCTTTTTTTTTTTAATTTTATTTAAGGAGAAAAAGCAGAGAAAGGGTACAAGTTGTACAGATTTACAGAAAAAAATAAACAGGAGATCACTAGTTAATGGATTACATATTGTCATCTTAGAAATAATTGTTCAAGTTACAAAATTAAAGCTTATAAAGTGGACATTCCAACAGTGAGACTGCAAACAGCTCTGTTCAATGATCCAACAAAACTCAGTAGTATCATTATCTTATACACTTAAATATACATGCAGTTATATCATTTAGAGCACTTTCTTTTCCTCTCTTTTGTACAATGACAATTACACATTTTGGGTTTTGTTGCTCCCACATGCCATAATGTCTTGTTTTCTTCAAAATAGCTGTTCAATGCTGGGGATTTATCTAAGCGGCATAAGCACCTGCTTTGTAAACACTAGGTCATGAGTTTGATCACTAGTACCATAAAAAAAATGCTGTGCATAGTCAGTGTATTCCTACATTACCAAATAGCTGTTCATGCCAGCACACATAATAAAATCAAAACAAAATCAATCAAGCCAATGAATGAAAGCATTATAAGACTTCAGAGCAATATAATAGGAAACCATGATTACCATAAAATATCCCATTCTATTTAAAATAGTTGCCCCTACCATCTGACAGCAAAAAATCTAACAAGACAGAACAAAGACAAACCTAACAAAATTGTGAAAACAATACAAGAGTTCAAGACAAGACAATAAGAAATTAACCGTTTCCACCTTTCCATAAGTGTTTCCTCTCCCATCACTCTTACAATAACTGTCTTACAATAACTGTTTTGCTTTTGGGTCCCTTTAACTCCAGATCCCAGTAACTCCAAGTTCACACATGAGTTTAAACTGTTTCACCCATGAACATGATTTCCAGTTGCATCCATTTACCTACAAGAGCCTGAAAGTATTCTACTTTATAGCTGGGTAGCTTTTCACTGCATGGAGATACCATATCTTTCTTACCCATTTGTGGTTGATGGGCAAGTTACTCTTGCTTTTCTCTGGTCTCCTGTCACATGGAACAATTGTTTTCTCTTTGATTTTCAGTCTATGAATTTCCAGTTAAATGTGTTTCTCATGTACAGTAGACTGATGGATCTCGTTTCTTGATCCACTCTGCCTGTGTTTCTTTTTATTGCTGACCTGAGGCCATGTGTATTAATGGTTACAGCCAGCATACATTGGTTTCTCTCTGCCATGCTATCCTCCTGCTGTTGGGCCTCCACTTTTATGTTTCATTCAATTGTCTTGTTTGGCTTCCTCCTCTGCTGCTGTTCCTAGAACCATGGTCAGCTTTATCACTCTCTAGAATATCCTTTAGCACTCTCTGTAGGGTTGGTTTGATGGTCATAAATTCCTTCTGTTGTTCTTTATCATAAAATTATCTTATTTTTCCATCAATTTTGAAAGATAGTTTTGCAAGGTAGATCAATCTGGGGTGGAAGTTGTTTTCTTTCAGGGTTTGAAACACTTCACTCCAAACTTCTTGATTTGATGGTTTGTGTGGATAAGTCTGCTGTGATTCTGATTGGTTTTCCTTTATAGGTGACCTGTTTCTTGTCTCTAACAGTTTTTAGTACTTTGTTCTTGTGTTGAATTTCTAGGATCTTGATTATTATATGTCTGGGTGTAGATTTACTTTGGTTATGGCTAGTTGGAGTCATATATGCCTCACTTATCTGCATGCCAGATCCGTTTCCCATGTTTGGGAAGTTTTCTGCTATTACTTCTGTAAATAACCTTTTATTTTCATTTGTGTTGACCTCTGCTTCTTCACCAACACTTGTCACTCTTAAATTATGCTTCTTTGCTTCATCTTGCAGCTGTTATTTCCTGATTCCATGTTATTATTAAGAGATTTTTAATTTCACAATCACTAGCTGCAGTCCTGTCTTCAAGGTTTGAAACTATCTTCAGTCTCTTTCAAATGGTTTTGCCAGCTTTCAGTTGACTTTTTAATTTCCTGGATCTCTCTTTGAATGTGTTTCATGCATTGTAATTCCTTTCTACATTCATTCAAGTTTTCCATCATTTTCCTATGCGCCTGTTTTTCATCTATGTCTACTTTAGACATGCTAAACAATTTTTTTCAGTATGTTTGTAATTTCTTCTTTTACCTGAGATATTATTTCTGATTTGACTGCTTTTACAATCTCATGAAGTTGTTTCTTTACTTCAGTTGCTATCCTTTCAGAAATTTCAGGTGTGTGACTTCCATGACTGTATCTCCCAGACTTGTTCTGTGTGGCCTAGAGGTCTAAGATTGCCTTTTGCTCCTTTATCTTGACATTCTCCTGGGATCCTCCCAATAAGCTGGTTGTGAGGCCCCAGGCACTTCGCACATTTGGCTGCCCGCCACAGTGTAGGAGAATGGGACAGGCACCTGGGTTCCTCTAACCCCAGATTTACAGGAGGTAGCAGGGTGTGGGGGAGGCTTCTTCAGACCTGTGCAGCTACACCAGGGCTTCCCTGATAATCAAGAGTGCATACAGGTGGGCTTTTTTCAGCCTGAGTTGGAAACTGGTAACTCAGCCTGGACTGTCTCAAGGAAAGTAAGAACTACTTGTAGAAGGAATGAAAGGGTTTTTTGATCACAAGATAAAAACATGAAGGCTGCTTCTTTCAGCCTGTGTGTCCACACTGGTACTTCCATAAGGGTGGCAGTCACACAAAGGAGTATTTGTCTGATTTCCACTGGTGGGTGATGACTGCCCAAAGGAATCAAGGGCCTCTAATAGTGGCCTACAGGTGCACAGAGCATACCTGGCTGTGTGTCCCTGCTCCTGCTGGCCGCCCACAGGAAGGAGCCTTCCAGTGGTAGCACCTGGCAAGCAGAGGCGGATCTGCTGGTTCTCTCTGCCCACACTGGCCACCCACAGGAAAAGGCTTTCTGGTTGTGGTGCCCAGCAAGTGGAGGCAGATCTGCTGGTTGTCTCTGCCCATGCTGGCGACCTGCAGGGGCCTTCTGGTGACAGTGCCCAGCAGGCAGAGGTGGATCTGTCTGGTTCTCTGCCTGTGCTGGCCACCCGCAGGAAAGGGCCTTCTAGTTGCAGTGCCCAGTAGGCAGAGGCCCTACTTCAGTTTTTTAAATTTTGAAATGTGGCATATTGCATTTCTAGTTCTTTATAATCTCAAGAAGTTACCATATTGGACTGTCCAGAGTTAGAGAAGTGCTATCCACAGAGAAGCCAACAGGCCTCAACAGGTTAACTCAATAACAATCTATTCCCAGTCAGCCCTTCCAACAATTTGTAGTCATGCAATTTGTAGAACATGTGACGTCTAAGGTCAAAGCCAAACACTGGCCCAGAAACTACTAAGAGTGCGGTCCCAACTGGGTGCCACGATTTTCCAGGACAGTGCAGAGAACTCATGAGGGCTTGCCAGGACATTTGAATATTTTGAAGATAACAGTGACAAATGCACAAACCATGACTATTATGTTGCTTAGAACTAGCAAATGAACTGCTAGGTATTTCTTTTGGCCTAGAGGTACTGTAGAAAAATGAGGTGCTAAAGATGTTTTAACTAAGAAATTTTGAGACCCTCTGACCTGGAATTACTTCTTTCTTCTGCTGGCTAACAATCAGTCACACTGGTCCTAACCTAACTGCAAGGAAGAATGGGAAAGTCTTTATCTTATTATAGTAAGATAAAGCACACAGATTGTTTTTATCTTGTGATCAAAAAACCCTTTCATTCCTTCTACAAGTAGTTCTTACTTTCCTTGAGACAGTTCAGGCTGAGTTACCACTTTTCCAACTCAGTCAGGATCTCTGAATTAGCTTAAAGTTTCACATAGATTTTGTCTTTGACACCTTAAATATTAATGCTTTCTAATATTTCCTGAAGCAGTATAACTTCTCCATCAGGACCCATATAGTTCATTGAGCAAAGGTCTTTCTAATCAGCCTGGGGCCTATAAATTGATGGATATTCTGGAGTAGACAAAAAAATTGGTTGGATAGGAGTTGGAGTTCATTCTTTGTCTACGTGGGCTTCATTTTATTCTCCTTATAGTCTCACATCTCATTTCTAGAATCCCAAAATCCCCAAGTTCATCTTTTAAATTACACTTGGTGAAAGATAGTATTTCTCATTTCCTATTGTGGGACTGATTATCACCTAACCAAATATGGTAGGCAGGATAAGATGCTCTACACATTTTGTCAAGTACCACTTTTTAGCCTGTAATTTCTTCTTCCTTTCAAGGGCCTCTGATGTGTCTTCCTTCCTTCCTTTCTATCTTTCTTTTCTTTCCTTCCTTCTTTTCTCTCTTTTTCTTTTCTGTCTTTTTGAGACAGGGTCTCACTATGCCGTTCAGGCTTACCTTAAACTCAGTTTGTGGCCCAAGCTTGCCTCAGACTCCAAAAACCCTGCCTCAGCCTTCCAAGTGCTGGGATTACAGGTGTGTGCCACCACACCTGGTTGATGTCTCTGTTCTTAAATTCTTAGATTTCATCACTACTCCATTGAAAGGCAGCTACATATTTTGGAGCTGAAATTTTCCATGCTTTGTCAAGTAGGAGCCACTTAAAGCTGGCTTCTGAGTTCTTCTGACATGACTTCATGCCTTAAACACTTCTTTGCTTTCAGTTATCAGACGTTCCAGACTGTTGTATCTTCCCTTCTCCAGCCCTAGAATAAGCTGTCTTCCAGTGAGCTCTGACTTCTTTTACTGGAGATCCATATGCAAAGGCCATATGTTTGAATATTGATATACTCATTGTTATTTGGATTTCAGGATGTTACTGATAGATCTACATCACTGACAGAATCAGAGAATATATACATGCACACATTATATATGTAATATACTGCATATAATTTTCACATAATTGTATATATATATATAGTCTCATAAGAAAATTTTTTATCTCATACATTGAAAAGCATGAGTCCATACCAATACCCTCAGTTCTAATTAACACAAAGTTTTTCTCATACTCACGACTCCCTTCTCTTGCATTCAACTCTTACTTCAATACCTGTTTTTGATCAAACCCTCCACAACTGCCTCTCACACAGATGCTCCCACATTTCATTCAAACTCTGATAAAAGTATTCTGTTCATGGCCACTACTTTTGCTTCCCTCTGTGGATATTCTTTCCCTGCCCACACTTCTACAGCTCATGTTGGACCCCATTTCCAAGAAGCTCGTCTTGGGCTCTGACCCTCCACACTAGGTTGTCCTTTGCATGAGTGTCCCTTCAACCTGCTTGGGGCTGAATTGCCTGTAGTGAGTCACTCATTCCCATATGCTTACTGTCTCACCCTACTTGGGATCACAAACCTGCTGGGCCAGGCTTCCGGGTGGATTCCCTGGTTACTCTGCCTGAGCTCTTATACCCCTTGCTGGATTGTCCCCATGAATGATACCCTCTTGGTTCTACTTGAACTTTGATTCCTCTCACTAGGCAGCTGTCCTGCTCAAATGTCCTCCTCACTGCTTGAATGTTGATACCCCTCACCAGGCCATGCCCTTGGCTTTAATGCACTATGTTCGGGAGATCTACTGTGACAAAGACAGTTCGTTTCTTTTGGGCTACAGCATGCCCCACCAGACTCAACTGCTCATCATTCCCACCTCTTTCCTGCTCACCGGCAGACTGACAGACAGACAGACATTGAAGATGAGAATGAGAATTGAGAACGGGGCTTTGATGACTCATGCTTGGGCACCTCCATGCACGACCTGCCCACCATGAAGGCTCTCTCACCCCAGCAGACAGCTTGTTCAGTCCCACTAATGTCTTTTTAAGCCGTTTAGTAACAAAAGAAGACAAAAAGCAGAGAATTGTATTATTTGATTATATTTGAGTAAATTTGTACATAAGATTCAGAATTTAAAAAGTACAAGAGTAATATAAGGTTTTCATTTTATCTTCATCCTCCTTCCTTGATACTTGATACATACTGATAGCTTATTACATCTTTCCAAAGTTATTGCCCCACTGTTTCATTGTACTACCATTTTATTTCATTGTTCAGCTTTATGATGTCAGAATTGATCAGTATCATTCTGATACTGAATCTTCCTATCCAAGAACAAGGTACCTTTCTATAAGTTCAGATCTTTTATGTTCCTCATATTCACTTCAAGTTCACCAATTTCTGTTTTTGTTTTATACCAGAGATCAAAATCAGAACCTTGCACTTCCCAGGGATGCGCTTATGCCCCTAAGCTATAGTCCTGGCCCAGGTTCACCAATTTCTGCAAAGAAGTAGCTAATACTTATTTTCACTTTGCAGATGAAAATCTGAACTCTAAGGCCCCAGAGATATTAAACTTTTGAACTCCACTATGGTTTGAATGAGTGTCCTCCACCAAGGCTTCTGTTTTAAAAGTTACAGTCACTAGCTTCTGGAGTAGTGGAGTCTTTAGGAGCTTGGGTCTAGTGGGAGGAAATTAGATGATTAGGGGTGTGATTTTAATGGGGATACTGGGACCTAAGTATCTTTCGGTCTCCATTTCTTGTTTTCCAACTACCAGGAGGTAAGCAGCTCCCTCTACCACTTGTTCCTGCCTCTGATGTACTACCGTACCACAGGGCCAAAGCAATGAGGCCAACAGACCACAGACTGAAACCCACGCAACAGTGAGTCAAAATAGATCTTTCTTCTTTATTAATTATCTCTATTATTTTGTCACAGTAATGGAAAACTAATACAGACACCAATGCTATTATATTTGTTACCTTACACCAGAAAAAGCAGTAGTAGATCTAAAGATAACTGACTGTGGTTGACTATGAAAATTGTATTATTTGTCACTAATTACAGACCACAAATGTATTTTATTCAGTAGATCATTATAGTCACAATTTCTTAGATTAATTGGACAGTATCTATTTTTACTAGATAGTGAAAAATTAAGTAGTCATCCAAATCACGCTATGATGATTCGTATGTCATTGTTTTCATGCCGTCACAACTGCTTTTCCCAAATTAGCACCATTCAGCATTTCTATAAATGCAGCTGGCATATTTTCAAATCCTTTGGTGACGTGTTCATGATACTGGATTTTGCCCTGTATCAAAACAACAAATATTGATTTCATACTTCCAACACTTTTCTCATCCTAGCAACAAATTTATCATTTATTGTTTTTAACATTTCATAAGATGGAGGCATGTTTTCTGTGAACTGATAGTGAATTTGGGGGGCAAGATTCCTATACATAGTGTATGTATCAGATTACAAAGTACACATAAGTAGGTGTCCAATCACAGTGTAACAGAAATGTCGCTTAATCACTATTATGCACTTGCTAAGTAAATTCTGTAAAAAAAGTTTAATAACGCAATGATTTCAGAAAATGTAGAAGTAGGTAGAGAAGGGAACATAATTGCCAAATACTGTCTGGCTGTGGTTTGTATCTGCATGTCCCTACCAAAGCCTCACATGCTCATAGGTGAGTTTTCTAAGGTGACTGCATCATGAGGGTGTGATCATTACCAATGGATTAATCACTGATGAGCTAAATGTGATTTGGTTTGTGTCTAGATGTCCCCCCAAAGCCTCATGTTGTCACGGAGCTTTTTTCAGAGCTAGCTGAATTTAGACCATATGATGCTGGGATTAAGGGTGCATAACTACTATATCAATCCACTGATTGGTTTGGTACCACCCTAATCCCAGCAGTATGAATAAGATATAAAAGGCCAAAAGACACCGTTAAGCCTCCTTGCTGCTTTCTATTGCCTTGTTGTCTTCTATTGCCATGAACTGTTGCCCCTCTGCTGTGTGCCACCCTGCCTTGGAGCAGGCCAATTACAGACTGAAACCTCTACAAACTGTGAACCAAATGAACCCTTCCCCTTTTAACTTTGGGTGCTCAGTATTTCATCTCAATAAGAAAAGTAACTAAGACAGGAGGTAAAGCCCAGTGGAAGGAGGAGGGTCACTGGGCGGGTGGGGGGACTGTGTCTGTCTTTCTTTCTCCACCTTTGATTACTCTGCCTGCTTCCTGCCACTGTGCCATGAGCTCTTTCTCCTCTGTCATGCCCCTGTGGTGTGCCACCCTGCCTTGGACTTACGGACTGAGACCTTTACAAGCTGTGAGCCACAATAAACCTCCTTTAAAATGTGGATGTTGGGGACTGTGTCTCAGGAACAAGGAAAGTAACTGAGCAGTCTGTTTCAAAGCCACTTCTAGTAGCCAAACCATGCGGAATCATTACTCCCCTGGGCCTTGCAGTGGTGGAGCCTGTTCAGGAAGTGCCAGTAACCATAGCAGTCCAGTAATTTACATCCCCGTCAGGCCAAGGTTCTTTCAATTCATGCTTAACACTTATTTAGGAGCAACAGAAGAAAGGGCTTACTTTAGTGAGGAAGGTTTTTCTTTTTTCTTTTTAGTACAAGGCACACAATCTACTATGCGGGACTAATATACATTTTAAAATTCTTCCATAGGGTCTACGTAGAGATTGGAACTACCTGAAAGCATACCTGGTAGACATCATGTATGAACTTGTGAACAAAATTATTTGCTTTACGTCACTGTGACAATAAGGAAGTTCTGGGGTTGGAGCCCTTGACTTGAAAACCTCAGTTGATTGCTACATTTAGAAAAGCAGAAAAATCTGAATGGGATGGAAAGCTAGACTCTAGTTTAATGATTAAAGGACGATGAATACTGTTATGGTTTGAAATGTGAAGCCCCTCTTTCTTAACTCATAGGTTAAAATCCTCATAATCCCTAGTACCTCACAATGTGACTAGATGTAGGGACAGGGCCTTTAAAGAAATAATTTGTCAGTATCTTCCTGAAAGAGTTAAAGACATCCTATTACAGAAGTACATGCACACTCATGTTTATAGCAGCATAGTTCATAATACCTAAATCCTGGAAGCAGCTTCTATGTCCATTAACAGATGACTGGATAAAGACAATGTGGTATTTATACACGGTGGAGTACTATTGTACCACAAAGAAGGATGGATTTAGGGCACTTATAAGAAAATGGAGCCAGGCGTGGTAGTGCATGCCTATAATCTCAGCTCTTGGAGGCTGAGGCAGGAAAATCACCACGAGTTTGAGGCCAGCCTGCATTACATAATGAGACCCTGACTTGAAAAAAAAAAAAAAAGAAACAAAACAAAAATAGATACACCTCGAGATTATAAAGTTAAATACATTAGGCACATAAACTTAAATATTGCATAATTTCTCTTATATGAGAAATGCAAAATAAAATAGAGCAAAATAAGAGATAGAAAACAGGAAGTAAGGAGATACACCTTTTTCAAAGGGGAGGGAGACATGAAGAGGTAAGAGGGAGGGTCTGAGAAGGGCATGAAGAAATGAATTAAGATGTGTTATGTGCATGTACCAAGTCCCCAGGAGAAGTGTAATCATTGTGTACTGCAAGTATGTACAAATAAAAACAATAAAAAGTGGGGAAAAAAAGATACAGTGAGGCCATATGGGTAGGTCGTGATTCAACAGGGCTGGTGTTGGTGTAAGAGATTAAGACACAATGAGAGAAGACTACGTAAAGACTTAGGGAAAGGCCTCAGAGGACACAAGCCTCTTGACACCTCGGATGTTAGGCTTCCAACCTCCAGAACTGTTAGACGACAAACCCCTTTCGTTTAAGCAACCCAGTCTGTTGCTTTAAGTTTTGTTATGGTAGCCCTAGGAAAATTAACACTAATACTAATGTAAAATGTTAATGATACGGCATTTAAAGTATAGATGCAGGGAACATGGGAGCTCTCTGCATAATTATGTAAAAGTGTTCTAAAATAAAATATATACTTAAAAAAACAGAAGATGAGGGAGACAGGAGAAGACTAGAACTCACTAGTTACTTAAAATAGAAATGAATCCGCTTCACTGTTAGAAAGAAACACTCTAGACACCACGGACACCAGCACAGGGGTTTCTTCTTATTAGCTGTGATCAGAGAAGGGTAAGATTCTGTTTTGCCATTGAAGGCAAAGAGGCAACATGGTGGGAATTTAAAAATAATGCAGCTTTTCCCAGGGTTTTAGAGCCCAGCCCAGCACTCCAAGTGTTAGAAGACTAGGAAAACTGCTAAGCTCCAGTGGCTGCCAGAGGAGCATTCTGTTTTGTTTTGTTTTTTTAATTCAGAAGTGACCATAGGGGCTCAGCGGCATAAGCGCCTGCCTTGCAAGCAGGCAGTCGTGAGTTCAATCCCTGGTACCGATAAAAAAGAAAAAGATAAAAAAAAAAAAAAAAAAAAAAAAAAGAAGTGACCATAGCCAGGAAATAGAAAGCATTTTATCACCGTTCCTCTCTCATACTAAAATAATGCACCTTGATCCTTTAGATTTCTGTAGGCTACAACTCCACTACGACAAGATGGAAAAATGATCATAGCTCAGAACAAAAAGGGGTTCTTCTTCCGGATCTGAAGGCATGGCCATAAGAAAGCTCTTTGTGCCACAGCTCATTTAGGTGCCCCTCTATCATTCATCCACTCAACAACTTTTATTCATTTTTTTTCTCTTTTGTTGGTGTCTGGGACTAAACCCATGGCCTCATCATGCTAAGCAAGTAATCTACCACTAAGCTACATCCCCCAGCTCTTAGGTGCTTACATTCAAACACTATTCTAGGTTGTAGATACATCAGAAAATGAAATGCTTGAATGTTGTTATCTTCATGGAGATATAGTCTCATGGAAGGGAGACAGCAATACATACAAATGGGATTGCTGCAGATAAAAAGGATCCAGGAGAATCAGATATAAATAATATTTCAACTTAAAATAAGGTCATTTAAAAATTTTCATCATTTGTTCTAATGTTCTGCTACATACTCTGGTTGCATCCGATTAACTATGTATTTCAAAATAGCTAGAAGAGATGATTTTGAATGGTATTCCAACCAAAGAAAGTTGGCTGTCAATTAACCTGATGTAATTATTACACATTATATATAGGTATTGAAAAATCATGTGTATACAAGTATTATATGTCAATTCAATTAAAAATTTTTTTTGTTTTCATTTTTTGAGAGGTTCTTGCTATGTAGTTCAGGTTGGCTTTGAGCTCACACTGTACCCCAGGCTGGCCTTGAACTTGCAGCAGTCCTCCTGCCTCAGCCTCCCAAGTGCTGGATTATACACATGCACAACTACAATCAGCAAAATGATTTTAAAAGCTGCCTCACTGTCAGGCACTTTTTAGCAAAAACTTGAAGGACATGGAGAGAGTTAAGGAAGCAGTCACGAGGGTGAGAGGGGGGTCCTACTTAGCAGAAAAAACAAGGCATGAACACTAAGAAATGAAATCAGAGAGGCACAAAAGGCCACACTGTGTACAACTTTGTAGGATTTATAAGAACTTTGGGTTTATGCTGACTAAAATGGAAAGCCTTCTAGGGTTTTGAACACAATGACAGTTAAAAGGTCACTCCAGCTGCTATGTTGGGAATTGTTGGCAGGGTGGCAGAAGTGGGAGACCAGACAGCAGTCCCTGCAAACATCCAGACAGTGTAGCAGCCTGGACCACAGGGGCAGCAGAGGATGTGGAAGAAGTGCTAAGATTCTGTACATATTTTGAGGCTTGAGCCATCAGGAAAAACTGAAAGGATAGACATAGGTAAGAGAGAGACACACACCAAACACAATTTCAAGGTTTTTGTTTGAGACAGTCTCTCTATACATTCTGGAATGGCCTTGGATTCACTATGTAGCCTACAGTGGCATGAAACTCACAATCCTCCCATCTTAGCTCCCCACGATCTCCCAAACCCTATGACCTCAAGGGTTTTGCACACAGCTTTGGAAGAGCAGAACTGCCATAACTGACATGGTGAAGTCTGAGAATGGAGCAGATTTAGCGGGAAAGATTAAAACATAGTTTTTGATGTGTGTTAGGCATCCAGGTGTAGCTATTGAGCGGTTTAATGTATCAGGCTGAACTTCAAAGGCGATAGGGCTTTGGGAGCTCTCAGCACCCTGAAGGCATTTAAAGCCATGAGCCTGGGTGAGGGGAAGCCATAGTAATGAAGAGATAATAGTATGCATAGAAAAGAGGCCCAATGACCATGCCTCAGGCACTCAGTTACTAATTTGAAGAGAAGCCAGAGGAGAAGTCAGCAGAAGATAATTAGTGAAGAAATCCAAGAGCTAAGGGAAGCCAAAGGCAGAAAGTACACCAACGGAGGGCAGTCACTGTAAAATATTCTCCCACAGCTAGGCAGTAGTAAGGACAGACCTCCTCGTTTCCCAGGGTGAGAGATACTGATAACCTTGAACAAAGAAGCTTTTGTACAATAGCAGCAGTGGAAAAGCCTGACATATGGGTTCAGCAAAGAAAGGAAAGAGAGGAACTGCATGCATGGGTGTATATAACATGTCCAGGTATCTTGTTATAAAGGGGAGAAGCAGAGAAATGGACTTAAAAGTGCAAGGGAATGAAATTTAGAGTTTTCTTTTTTGTTTTCTCTTTAAAGATACAAAAAGTGAGAATGTTTTTATTTGAAAAGCAGTGATACAATAGACAGGCAGAAACTGATGATACACCAGAGGGAAGAATTGGTAAACTAATGGTTTTGAGTAGCAAAACCCAGCGCTCTAGTGTACAGTGGAAGCGGGTAGTTGTAGAGCTGCTTACCTCTAAAACCCATTTCATCAAATCTCTCAGAGCCTTCTCACGGACATCTCCTTGCCATCGGTACACTATGAACCCTTCAATGCGGAGCTGCTTATAGATAATACTCTCTGGGGATGGACCTGAAAGCAGAGGGCACATTTGGGTGACAGGGTCCACAAAGGTGTCAACATGCCAAGATTGTCAGCACACTGTGTGGAAAGCAGAATAACAGCCCCAAAGGCACCCACATTCAAAATCTGTGAGCATTTTACCTTACATTGCACAAAAGATTTTGCATATGTAATTACATTAAGAATCTTGAGATTGTTGTATCTCTGTAACAGAATAATCTCAAGCTTTCAATATAACCACAAGCTCTCTTGTAAGAGAAAGAGGGACTCAGAGGAAAAAAATAAGTGATGATGGATGCTGGGATTGGGAAGCGCAGATAGGAGTAAAAAGTAGGAGGAATCTTATGCTACCGGCTTTGAAGATGGAGAAAAGAGCCACATGCCAAGTAATACAGGCAACTCCTTCAAGCTGAAAAGTGAGGAAACATCCTCCTCAAAAGCTGATCATTTTAGAATTCTGCCTTCTAGAAGAATGAGAAAAAAACTGCACTGTGTTAAGCCATAAGTTGGTGGTAAGTTTTACAGCAGCAATAGGAAACTAATGCACACTAAGAGTCTTGCATAAGCCAGGCAGCAGTCAGGTAAGAAAGGCACTATTCCTAGGAGAGACAGAAAAGGTTGTACTGGTTACCGAGTTTATTTCCTCCAGGATCCTAAGTGACCAGAAGTGAGAGAATAATACCTAAGTATAGCCTTTCAATTCTGAGAAATCAGGTGAGGATGCCTAGAGAGTATCAAAGCCAAAAAGGGTAAGACAACTTGTAGAAATTATCCTTAGCATCACAGATAACTAGCATTACTCAAGCATAAAATTCCCACTGTTTACTTTGAAAAAGATAGCATTTAGTGGGAAAGTGGAGCTTTGTCCTGAACTATAGAAACTAACACAAAGCGAGTAACACAGCTGAATGCTTCTCCAGAGGACACCAACAGCATTTCTTTTTTTTTTTTACAATTTTTTTTTTTTTGTCTTTTTCCTTTTTATCAGTAGCAGGGATCGAACTCACGACCGCCTGCTTACAAGGCAGGCGCTTATGCCGCTGAGTTAAATTCCCAGCCCCCAGCATTTCTTTTCAGTTAAGAACTGGAATCTTATTTTCTCAACTTGAAAGAGGGTGACACAGTACTGCTGATGGGAGTGTTGATTTTTTTTTTTTTTTGGAGCAAAACAGCAAATGTAGCGGAAAAAATGGTGGAAATAATTACTTGCTTCCTAGCTATCCTAGTAGTAGAATATATAAGAATTTCTGAAAATCAGAGGCAAAGCAGAATTCCTTGTGGTTCAAATGAAATGGGCAAGGTCACCTGACATCCCCACGACCTATCTGAAGTTCCAAAGAGTAGTTGCTAAAAGGAATAGATCAAGTTACTGTAACCAACATATTTAGCTGTACCTCACTGGACTACGGATAAGAAAATGCATCTTGGACCTTTGCTCAACCGATTGGCAGGTGATTTGCTGTGATTCTAGCTTAGCATCAATTAGAATAATATAGGGTTAAAAAATGTCTTAACGATGATATTACCAAATGGTAATATCTGAACTTTCCTTCTTGGAGAAGGTTGTATCTTTGACTTTTCATAGCTCAGCCCCTTCTGCTCTAAGCCCTGCTCTTCATGTGGTTGTGTTATTAATTACTGAGACTTATAAGAGTTCCTTCTCATTAGTCAAGCTTGTTATAGAATGAGTAACCAACTGATTTATGTTTGCCTAAACCTTGATTACAGTCTAAAAGATTTCCTTTTATTCTTCTTTCATCCTTTTTGGGACCACAGGTAAATCTAACACGACACAGCACAGAATAATTAGAGCAGAAAACAACCTTACTTGAGAATTCAGAACACTGGTCTTTGAGTATGTTGCTAATGGGATTTAATGAGTCTCTGGTTGTTCATGTTCCCTTCCATAAAAAGAGGCCTGTATAAGATGTCTCATAGGTCTCTGAGTAACACATGCAGTTCTCTGCTGGTACTGCTTTTGAACCTTGTAATATGGACAGAGAGCGGCAACTTCAGCACAAGAGAGTAGAAAAGTGGGGTTTGGAAGGCATGGCAGGGCGGCGGAAAAACAAAACAAGGACACTCAAGAAAAGGAGGTAAAACACATGCCCCTTTTCCCTTTTACTGGTAACTGTTAACTTGACCAGGCCAAGGTGTCTCGCCACTCCAGGAAGTACTGCCCAAGATTGTGGGGAACAGGACAGACTGCCTTTCCCTTAACCCACATCAAGACATTCTCCACCTAACACACAGCTTCAGCAGTAAGATTGGTATCATGAGGAACTCTTGTGCTCCGTTTCTAAATCAAATCTTGGCTGTCTTTTTGTAACTTCATAGAACATAATCGGTAAGCAAAATTTGAATAACTATAAATGTTTCTTCCATGCTTGATCCTATTACTTTCAGTAGTGAAAGTTCATTTCAGCAGACAGTACAAAATATATGAAATCACATAGTTTTAACAAATGCTATTGCATTATTATTTGAGACTATCAGGAAATCTTCCAGCAGTCACTGGCCTATCCCATGTCTGTGAATCTTCCCTCACCCAGGCCTACATCTGTAATCACCTGCATGAATTTGTTACCTGGGGGAAGTTGATCCATTCTGTTATACACAGAGATGGCCCCACAGATCGCAATCTTTCCAAAGTCCTTCATTTGGGATAAAACGGTGTTCAAGAACTCTCCACCTACCTAAGCAGACAGGGGAACAAACAAGGAAACACTTTAAATAATGTGATCACTAAATCGACAAGAATTATTATTTCACAATGCTGATTTAGTAGCTACAAAGCTGATTGGGCTAGTCATGCTGGCACATGCCTGTAAGGTCAGTTACTCCAGAGGCTGAGGCAGGAGGATCACAAAGTCAAGGCCAGCCCTAGAAACTTAGCAAAATCCTGTCTCTAAATAAAGTTTTCAAAAGGGCTGGGGATGTAGCTCAGTGGTAGAGTGCTTGTCTCATAGGTGTATACCCTGGGTTCAAATCCCAGTACTACAAAAAAAACCCAAACCACAACAAAAAGTTAATCAAATTAGCACATCATTGCAGACAAGTATAGTTAGAAAAAGACATTAGAAATGAAAATTTCCACTTGACTCTAGGAACATACAATAATATAAATTCTAATTTGTTAAATATGGTTTTCTGATCAGTCCAACAGTTTCATTGTCCTGTAATCTAAACATACGGAAAAAAAACTGAAAACACATATGAAGAACAACATTGGAAGTCTCACACTTTCCAAGTTCAAAACTTACTACAAAACCAATCAAGTCAGTGTGAGAACAGAAATATGGATCACTGGAACTGAATTAAGAGTATAACAATGAACACTATGATCAACTGATTTTCTACACGAATGTCAAAACAGTTTAATAGTAGTAAAAACACTGATAAGTGTTTTTAACAAACAGTGCAGAAAAATGGGATATTTACATGAAAAGAATAGAATTAAACTGCTCCTTACATTATACACACAAGTTAACTTAAAATGCAATATAGACATGAATATAATAAAGCTGTGAAATTCTTAGAAGTCACACAGGAGTAAACTTTGGTGAATTTCAGTAAGACAAAGCCTTTTTAGACCCACAAAAAGCCACAGCAACAAAAGAAATAAAACCAGATAAATTAGACTTCATCAAAATTGAGAACTTTTCAGCTTCAAATGATATCATCAAGAAAGTAAAGACAACTCCTGGAAAAGGAGAAAACAGTTGCAAATCTCATTATCAGTGGGTTCCACATTTGTGAACTGGGATACATGCTACAAGATCAAAACTCACAGAGATTTCCCTGGTAATTTGCAGAGATGCACAAAGCAGCAGAAGTGAGACAGCTGTTCCCAGCAGGGACTAAACAAGGAAGGTAATCAATTATGTTCACTTTAACACGGAGAAAACCACAGGGTGGAGACAGCCAGGGACAATACAACGTAGTTGCAGAAGCTCTGGCTCTGGGGACCGAGGTGAGCATGATCACCAGCTCTGGAGACACTGGTAAGTGGAGCAGCCTGATGCAAGTTACTGAACACTTCAGAACCTCATTTTCTCTCATAAAACAAAGAAAATAGAAAACACTAGGAAGTGGTGTTTTTAGGACTTAAGGTTATATTTAAAATGTACATAATTGTACGTAGTTCTCCTAAAAGCAGTAGTTTAGGGGTCTTGGTGACTCCACAGGATGTAACTATTGTGAATAATGAAAACCAATTCTATCAGATGCATAAAGAATTCTTAAAACTCCAGACATAATCCATTTGGAAAATAGGCACAGGATTGAACATGTATTTCTCCAAAGGATATATACAAACGTACTCAAAAAAATCTCAAATATCACTAGCCACAGGAAAATGCAAATCAAATCTACCCAGATGACTACAAGAAGAAAGCAGACAGTTACTAGTGTTGGTAAGGATATGGAGAAATTGTAATCCTCATACATTGCTGATGGGAATATAAGACAGTACAGTTACACTTTGTGTAATGGTTTCACAGTTCCTCAAAATGACTAAATACGAAGTTACAATATGACCTAGCAATTTTACTCATGGGGGATACATAAGGTTAAAGAAAACATGTTTGAACAAAAACTTGAACACTAATGTTCATAGCAGCATTATATTATAGTGGCCAAAAAGCATAAATAACCCAGATGCCCATCAATCTATATCATTAAAATTTGGTATATCCATATAATGGACAAGTTTTCAGCCGTAAAGGGCTGATAAGTGTTCCAGTGTGGTTGAGGCTTGAAAATATTTTGATAAGTGATAGAAGCCAGTCATAAAAGCCATTTTTGGGGTGAGAAAATGAGGTACTACTCTGCCATAAAGGATAAATTTGAGTCATTTGTAAGAAAACAGATATATCTTGAGCCCATAATGTTAAGTGAAATAAATCAGACCCAACAAGCTTCAATATCTCATGGTTTCTTTTATGAGAAACCCAGAATATAAATAGAGAGCAAAATGAAAAATAATAAGAAGTGGGGAGATAGATCTTTCTCAAATGGGAAGAAGATCAACATAGAGGAAAATGGGAGGGTAGGGAAGAAAACGGGATTAAAAAAAGTAATTAAAATGTGTTATGTACATGTACCACTACCCATAAGAAATGTAAACATTATGTACTACACACATGTACTGATAAAAACAATTAAAAAGGTATATGTAACTTTCTTCACATATTTTATACAGGAAGTTCAGAAATACATTCCTTTATACTTTATCAATTAATCAGGTAACTCAGTTCATACTTACATTATCAAAATAGCAATCATAACCATCAGGGGAGGCTTTTTTCAAGGCTTCTTCCAAAGAATTTACTGTCTTGTAGTTAAAGGCAGCATCAAATCCAATTTGTTTAAGGTAGGCAATCTTTTCATCAGACCCTGCTGCTCCAACAACTTTACAGCCCTACATAGGAAGAAAAACAGCAACTGTTAATAGACCAGAAACATAAATCAACTCCATGTTCCTACTCTAGTGTGGTCAGGCTTTCTAAGAACACACTTCATGTGTAAGAAATATCACACCAGGCCAACTGACCCCAGGGATGAAATCAGTCCCTGCAGCCCAGCTTGGCTTGCCTGGCCACCCACAGATCCCTTCTATATTTACTGGATTTGCAATTCATCTTTTTTTTTTTTTTATTTGGGCACCTCTTTTCAACGATGTGTGTGCTATCTCTTGGTGCACTGGTTCTTTAGACCATTTTTTGGGCTCAACTCTTGGTAACTGACACTTAGTGTGATTTGGTCCAAAGCACTGGACTAAATGCTCACTAATCACAGAAGAACTGGAAAGCATTCTGAAAAGCAGTCTCAGGATGATAACACTGAGCTAAAGGGATTAGGTCCTTGGGAATCTAAGCCCAGTAAAATTAAAAAGCATTTTCAGATATCATAGCAAAAAATTTTTAATTACAATTTTTTAAAACTACTGTATGTAATTTTAAACTTAGATTGTTGAAACAAAATCTAGGATATGGAAACAGAAGCAAAGAGGAATATATACTACATTTAAAGTTCATATACATATATAAGTATGCTTTTTGAGTGAAAATATGTATACAAACACTAGCAGAATATAAGTAAGACAAATTTTAAATATCAGCACTAGCAGAATCTAAACAAAACTTTGAGTTTAAGTAATTAGAGAAAAAAATAAACACTAAAACACAGAAAGAGAAATAATGACCGATAAACAAAACAAAATGACTTAAATTCACCTATTAAAACACTGAAACTTCCTAGTAGGGAAGAAATCAAATGCAGCTATCCACTATTTACACAAAGTATATATAGAGTAAACAGACAAACAAACAATGTTAAGGGCAACTCATCAAATTTTTTAACAAAAAGTCCTTGTATTTTTAACAAAATATTTGAAACAAGAATACTGGAAACATTTCTAATTCATTTTGTAATTCTAGCATAAATTAGGTCTGACTAGCCACTCTGAGTTTGCAAAATCAAAACTTTTAAGCCTAACTCATTATAAACATAGATGTAAACATTCTTTTTTAAAATGTTATTAAATCAGGGCTGGGTATGTAGCTTAATGGTCAATCGTGTGCTTAGCATGCTAAAGGCCCTGGGTTCAATTCCCAGTGCCCCTCCCAAGTTATCAAATCAATTCCAAAGGCATCTATAATGTGACATAGATAAATATTCTAGGAAGACTAGATTGGTTCCATGTTGGAAAAAATATAATTCATTGACTGCAAAATTAACATGCTAAACTGGGTGTGGTGATACACACCTGTAAATCCCAGTGCTCTGGGAGATTGAGATAGGAAGGTCGCAGGTTCACGACTCATCTGAGTAATTTAAAAAGTTAATGAAACAGTGTCTCAAAATAAAAAATAAAAAAGGGATAGGGCCATAGCTTAGTGCAAAGACCTGGATTCAATCCCAAGTGCTAGGGGAAAAAGTTCACCTGCTAAATAACAAATGCATCCCTCAAATGCAACCTGTAGTCCCTATTTACTTGCTTAAATAATTTCTGCAATCTATTACAGCCTCATATTATAAACTCCCATTAGTATAGGAGACAGCCTGAACCACTGGTTGTAACTCATCTGCCTTCCATTTGTACACTAGGGAGCAGGTCCTGAGTCCTGCATCCTAGCCTTGGGCAAAGTTAGACTGGGTCTGAGCTACCTTGAGGTCCTCTATCATAAGACTGTGTCCCTTGAGCAGAGATCTTCTGGGTACCCCCCAAAGTTAGTTCTTTCTGGGGCAACAGCCTTTGTAATGCAGTTATGTGGGTGATAACTGTTAGTCTGGCTGATCTCAAGTCCTTCTTTCTGTTGCCATAGGCAATCATGAGGAAAAAAATGTTAAACTGCAGAAAAAGATTGTTTAGTTAAAAATATAAAAACACTAGATCTTATAATCCAGTGCTGGAGGAGGAGGCCATTTAGACTTGATACCTACAGTGTTATCAAATGACAATATTCAGCTTACCTTTGCTATGCTGCTCCCCACAATTCTCAACCTCGAACTTCTAATCAAGGCCCACTAATCACATCATAAGCTCCTTGAGGTCAGGGAAAGGCTGCTATGCTCACTGTTGTGTTCTCAGTGCATGCTGTGGGTCTTCAATAAATGTTTGTTACCGGAGAAAGACACTTACTTTGAGCTTTGCTATCTGCCCCACAACAGAGCCCACTGCTCCAGCGGCTGCACTGACCAGCACGGTCTCGCCACCCTTCACGCCACAGACCTCCAGCAGGCCGAAGTAAGCAGTTAGACTAAGGGAGGAAACAAGGGGATATGAAAGGATCTGTTTGCTTCACCTGTTGTTCTTTTATATAAACCTCAAAGGCCTTCTCAGCAGCCTTGGCCCGTGCCAGGAGCCGTGGGATAAAAGCAAACATTCAAAATACAGGAAATGAGTATTATCAGCCACTTTGGTCCACTTTCTTCTCGACTCCCAGAGAGGAATAAAGATGAAGAACTAGGAAAGGAATGGAGAGCTGGGTAGAGAGAGGCTACATCCAGTCCATGTCCAGGGCAAGTCTCAGAGGTGGAAGAATAGAGGTTCCCTTGACCTTGGGGGATTCTAAAAGGGAGATATAGTGAGACCTTGTCTCAAATAAAAATAAAAGAGGGCCGGGAATGTAGCTCAGTGCAAAAGCCCTAGTTCAAGCCCAGCACCACACATGTAAGAAGAGGATGAGGAAGGAAGGGCAGAAAGAGGAAAAGGAGCAAAAGGAAGAAGGGCACTTTTTAGACAAAAAAGGAGATGCGATCTAAAGCTGAGTTGGAAACTGGAGAAAAGGTGCAGGATGAACTGAGCAGGGATCTTTCTCAGTGATAAAGCTATAGAGGCTTGAGAACTTTCGATCTGTTTAAAGCTGAGTGACTGTACAACCACACTTGTGATTCATCTCAATTATTCAGACTTCAGACACTCTTGAACAACAGGAAACTCACAGGGACACAGGAAAGATGAGGAAGGAAAGACAGTGTAGAACAGTTCAAGGTAGACTGAACTCTAAAGTGAGGACAGAGGTGAGTAGTGGGTGAAGCCAAGAGCCCCGCCCCACCCAGGGAGAAGAGGAGCTGGTCCCTTTGTGTCACAGTTCTGCCAGATGCTTGTACAGGTCATGCTCCACGTTACTTTTACCTGTTGTTTTCTCTTTATGTCTGAGGATCTCTGACTTGAATTCTCCTCCTTGCCTTTAGCTTCAAGGCTGATTCTAAGTGTTATGGTTTGTATCTAGATATCTCCCCAAAACCTCATTGGTCAGAGGTGGGGAGTTTCAAAGGTGGCTGGATTGGGAATGTGAATGTGGATAAAGGGTGTGATATTGAGATTAATATATGGATAATGGATGCCTCGCCTGCATGTGAGCGACACCAATCAAAAACTTTACAGCCTGGATAGAATAAGGAGAGGGATGACAGGCTTGCTACTGCTGCTTGCTGCCTTCTGGCTGCCATGCCATAAACCATTTTTCCTCTGCAAAGTCCTCCTGCCATGCCACCCTAGCTTGGAGCAGACAATTAGGCACCAAAACCTCTATAAACTGTGAGCTGAAATAACCTTTTCCTCCTTTAAGTATTTTGTCTCAGGAATGAGAAAGGTAACTAAGACACTAAGCTACTCTTTTCTTTTTTAAATTTATTAACTGAAAAGTAAAAAATTTTTATTCTGCAAAATATTTATTCTGTACAATGTTATTTTAAAATATACAGTTATGTACTTATAGTGGGATGGTTTAATAAAACTGATTAACATACACATTTAGTTACAGTGGAAATAGCTAAATTGAGCTAATTAACACAAATTACCTCACAAAGTTATCATGTTTCTGTCAAGGACGCTTCAAATCTACCTTCTTAGCACTTTTCAAGAATACAGTATGTCGTTGCTATCAATAGCTCTTTTGAATGCCTCCTGGTAGCCACCATCCTGCTCTCTGCTTCTTTTTTTTTTTTTTTTATCTGTACCAGGGATCGAACTCACGATAGCCTGCTTACAAGGCAAGCACTTATGCTGCTGAGCTAAATCCCCAGCCCTCGCTCTCTGCTTCTTAGTTCACCTTTTTTAAAGATACCACCGCATGTGGAATTTGTCCTTCGGTGCTTCATTTATTCCACTAAATGTCCTCCAGTTTCAACTACATTGTCAGAATTTCCTTCTTTTAAAAAGCTGTGTAATGTTCCAGTGTGTGTGTGTGTGTGTGTGTGTGTGTGTGTGTGTGCGCGCGCGTCACGCATGCATGTGTGCCACGTTTTCTTTAGTAATTCATCTGCTCATGTATTTTTAGGTTGCTGCCCTTCCCTTTCTTAGCCTTACCATCCTTAAGCAGCCTCTGGCCTATAATTCCTCAAGTCTCTTCTTGTTGTCCAAATTCTATATAAATTGTTTTGAAAAGTACAATATACTCATGAAACTCACCCTGGCATGCCAATTGTCCCCAGGGCCAAAGACAGTGGTAATTTATCTGGCCACTCTGTTAGCAACTTTTCCAGTCCTTTCCCATCAGAAATGAAGTGTGTTGTCCAGCCTGATTGAGCCAATACGATAGATCCTGCTGGGAAGGCTGAGTTTTTACTTTCCACAACTCTGAAAGATAAAGCACATTAAGACAGCTGGGAAAAAAAACAAAAAAGACAGCTGGCCCATTTTTCCCTTTCATGAGAGTCAAGATGCTCTGTATTTGATGTTTACCAAGGACATGGAAGCTGACATTTAATAGCTGATCCCTGTCAGATCTCAGCATCTTAATTTTTTTTTTTTCCATCGGTACCGGGGATCGAACTCACGACTACCTGCTTGCAAGGCAGGCGCTTATGCCGCTGAGCTAAATCCCCAGCCCCATGCATCTTAATTCTTAGCCACTGGCATTGGGGCCAGCAAAAAAGGATTCTTTCTACTGATCCAGCATCTGCCCCTGTCCTCACCCATTTCTCTTCCTTTTGCTGCAGACGACTCCATCGGTCAGTTCAAGTTGCCCAGTTCACCATCTCTCCTCTTTAGAGCTCGCCCTCTATCCCTTTGTCCTGCTTTCTCTTGAATCTTTAACATTTTCTTATCTAATGTCCCTTCCTCCCAGCACATAAGCATGTTCAACTCTGCCATCTTATAATCCTGTCCTCTTCTTTCCTCTTTTTTTACCTTCCACAGCCAAACTTCCTCACTTCCCACTCACTTTACGACCTGCTGCTATGATTTAAATATGAAGCCTCCCCCTAAAGACTTGTAGTGAGGACTTGGTCAGGGGTGAGGCCCAGAGAAGTAATTGGACCATGAGGGTGTTGACCTCATCAAGGATCAACCGATTTATTAGCTTACAGTCCAGTGGGCTTGGAGGGAGGCCTAACTGGATGGAACAGGTCATGAGAGAGCATGGCTTCGAATGTTCTGTGTTCCTAGCTCCTTCTTAGCCCCTTCCCTACTGGCTCTTTCCCACCATCTCTGCTTCCTAGCTGCCATGAGGCAGGTAGCTTTCCTCCACCAGGCCCTTCCACCATGATGTTTCTGCCTGGGAGCCAGCTAGCCACACACAGAAACCTCTGAAACTGTGAGCCAAAGCAAACCTTTTCTCCTGCGAATTGTGTATGGTAGTATTTGGTTAAAGTGACAAAAAAGTGACTACCCCATCTCCTGCTGCTTCCACTTCTCCACTAAGATCATAACAACCTCTTGAACCCAATGGACATTCTTTAGTCATTATTGTGTTTGACCTTTAGGCTCTGTTCAGGGCTATGGATCACCCAAAACTCATCCCCTTGGGTTGCTGGGATACCGATCTCTCCTGGCTTCTTTATTTTCCTCTCTAAGCTGTCCTTCTCTGCCTCATGTATTGATTCCTTTTTTTTCATCTTCTCTCACTATTACCATTCTTTACTGTCTTCTCCCCAAATCATAAACTTATTATAGTACATGTTTACTCTAGAAAATGCAAAACATATAAAATAAAACATTAAGTTAGCTAAGGATTTTACTTGGCAGTAGAATGCATGTTTAGCACGTTTGAGGTCCTGGTTCAACACCCTAGCACTGCAAAAAATCTTTAATAAATAACTACAAATTTTAAAATATCAGTTATAACCCCACAACACAAAGATATTTTGGGGTTGTATGGCAATTTTAATGATATATTTATAACTATGTATTACATGTATTTACATAATTGAAGTACTGTTTTGTAACCTAAGGTTCCTCTCAACATTATACTATATATAATTTAACCTTTCCCATGTTATTAAAAATACATCAAAAACTATAATGAATTTAATTATTTCCCCATCAGTAGACTATTTCCAAGACCCTTCCTAATGTAAAGTTCATTTAAATTAATATTTATCAATATTAACTTGTTTCCTTAGATTGTACTTCTATAATTACTAGGCCAAAGAGTCTGAAAACATTTGTAACTCTTGCTGCATACTGCCAAACTCCTTTTGAGAAGGTGGTGGCAACTTCTTGATAGACAGTAAGTTACTTGTTGGTAAGTGCATAGTAAGTTACTTACTATTTGGTGTACCATCATATCATCTCTCAAGCTAACTTGTATTTTTAAAAATATTTGCCAATGCAGCAAACACAAATACATGTTTGTGTCTTTGATTATCAGCAAGAATGCTATAAAACTTTACAGGAAGAAAACTGTTGTTGGCAATGGAGAAATATATCTCGTACTTAGAATTATAAAGAAGTCAGTTTCCTCAAAATAAATTAAAGGTCACTAAAATACCAATAAAAATCCAAAAATAGAGAATGATGTTCATTTGTAGGGATTTATACTCACGTCTTGAGGATTTTTGAGCCCTTTACCCACCCCAACTTTGCCTCTACCCTTCCCATAATCCCACCATCTCTCCCTTACTATTTATTTACATTTTAGGTTTCTCATAAAAGATAAAATATATGACCATGTAATTTTTTTGTTGGAACTTGTCTTTGCAAGTTAAAAATACATATCTCTTTTCACCTAGAACTTGTACTTTTCAGAATTCAATACATTTCACCCTAGTGGTCAAAGAACACACACATACACACACACACACACACACACACACACACACACACACACACACAGATCCACACATGTCCCCTGAAGAATTATTTGTAGTAGAAAAAAATTGAAAACAGTTGTTACTGGTAGTAGATTAATTCAGTGGCAGAATGTAGTAGAATATAATATTTAGCTTTTAACCAAGATAGATGATATATTTAAATAGTATCAACAAAAAATTTCTATGACATTTTAAGTTAGCAAAAGCAATCTGCTGAAGGGTATATAATCCCACTTAAAACATAAAATATCTTCACTGAACAATTTTTGAAATACTAATACATTAACAACAACCGACTTCAAGGCTCAGATAAGGGATACTTTCACTTTCAAAGATAAAAACTTTTTTGTTTTATTTGAATGTTTACAACCATCATGAACTAGATGAATGTAATTTTTAAGTCATTAATAGTCAGGTTAACAGAACAAGGCTGAAATGACAGAAATTTCACATTCTGCTTTCCTTCCCACTTAATCAGGAAGAGCGTAAGATTCCCTAAAGTCGCTTCCAGGCTCAAACAGTGAGTGAACCACACCGAGGCTGAAGGACTCATAGGAGCAAAGGACAGAGATAGCGCTCGGAAGGAAAAAGAGGAATATTTCCAAGCACCAGGACACGTGAAGTAATTACCTGGCCACTTGCTGCCCCATCATCACAGCACCCTCCTTCAATCTTTTAGATGCTATTCTGGAAAGAAAGAAAAACTTACTCTTAGTGCAAAGAGCATCTGGGGAAAACTTCTTTGAATTTTCAGCCAAACAGAAAACCACTAGGGCAGTATGCACAGAAACAAAACCCACAGGGGCAGCACACACCCTACTAGCAGTACTTTGGCTCTGTGATCTCCAAAGATGCACTCTACTGGTATTTTTCCATGAGTGAAATTAAGATTCTTACCACCATGTTCAAGTATAGATGAGTTTAAATCAGTGGCTTTACAAATATACACCCAAATACACACTACTTAGTTCTTGTTAATACAAAACAGTAGTCACATAAAAGGATACTAATTAACATTTTAAAACTGTTTTTCATTTGAATCTTTATCAATCAACTATGAAAAATATTCAAAAGAATGATAATGATAGGTATATCATCTACTTTGGCAAAAAAGTACTGAGGCATTAGTAGCCTATGAAGATTTTTATTCCTTTCTCTCCCTGAATTGTTTACTATATACATAAGTTTGAGTCAACTATTGATTATCTAGATTAGAAGAATTCAGGTCACTGGAAGGCAAGAATAGCTGATTTCAGTCCTCCCAAATACTTTGCCCAAATAATCTGCCAGTAATGAAATGGGAAAGTTGGAGGCTGGCTTCTTGTTTTCCTTTTTTTCTGGAAGCAACTCTGGTGAGCAATAAATAGCACACTATGCAGAGCAGATTAGAGATGAGTGTAAAGAAAAAGGACCAGGGTGATCCCCCCTCCCCCCGCCAAGCTTCCAGACCTCTGCCTACAGAAACTGAGCCTCCATGAATCCCCTCACTCATTCCAATCACCAGAAATGGAAAATGACAACGCTGGCTATTTTAAAAGATGAGCCACAACACCCATGGGTCATTGCAGAAGCTCTGAAATAAGTAAAATTCTACACTGGTATAAATGAAAATCTTAAAAAGACTAGCTAAGGCACTTCACTATAGTTCAACACACAACATAAGAAGATTTAGGAGGAAAAAGAATACCTCATGTAAGGGTCCACGGAGAGAAATAAGGCTTCAAGCAGTACCTCTACAAAAGAAAGCATTCCATAGGCAGTTAAAAACTCAAGCCTGATGCCTGTGTTGGTTTTTTTCTGGCATTATAAATAAACACAAAATATCTTTCTGCTTTGGGGTTGTCCTCTTATCTGTCTGTGCTATTTTTTTTTAATTAGACATGTATAATGGTCACATTTAACACAGGGAATTTGCACCTGTCCGTAATATATCTTGCTGCTTCTTTTTCCTCATTCCCCTTCTCTCTCTCCAACCCCACTTCCCCTCCTTCTTCTCAAAAGCTTTGTTTCCATTTTTTCCTTCTTTTCAAGTTTCTTTTGTCCTTGCCTTTCATTCCCCTTTCCCTCTCTTACCAAATGTACAACCACTATGTTTCAATGCTCACACTAGATTTCAGTACTAATCTAAGTTAGTATGAAGAATAGGCATTTTAGTGGACTGACCCTCATGGACATATTTTCTAGAATTTTGTATCTGAGTACTGGCTATCTTAACTTAAAAATGAGATAAAAAACCTTGCAATGCATCCCCTTTCTCAAAAGCTTAGCTACCTGCAAGGCCCCTTACAGACACCTCATACAATCTGAGCTCTGCAGATGAGTAATAGGTGGTGCTTACCCCATTAGTGTGACTGAGCTTAACAGAACAGAGAGGATATGTTACCAAGGTCTGGTCAAAGCTTTAAAGAGTAAATCATCCAAGCATGAATTTCAGTTGTCAAAGAAAACAAAGGAAACTTCTACGAGGACATCGAAACTTCAAACAAAAGACTAAAAAGGTCTCTGTGGGAGACTGCACAATGGCTAGAAATACATCCCACCCTGTGTGCTAGCTCTTGGCTATGTCTTCCAATAAGAAATCTACTTCTAGGGGCCGAGCATGTAACACTAAGGTACAGTACTTGCTGAGCATGCATATCATAGTGGATTTGACCTCCAGCCCCATAACAAAATGAAAAAGGGAAATGTGGATGTGGATTCTCCTTGAATCCAGTCTTGGCAATGTTACTTGCTTTGACCAATAAAACACTAAAAACATGATACAGTTAGAAACTTGAAAAGGGCTTGCACATTGGAATAATCAACTCTAGTTGCTGCAGACCCATCAGATCACTATGAAAACAAAGGTCAAACAGCCTTCCAGGAAGGGCTCAGAGATAACCAAGGCCCACACTGCAGGAAAAAGTCTGCTAACTACCAGGCACAAGAGTGAAGCCCGTCCTAAAATAATCATCTGACCCAGTTAAAGAATCATTCAGTTTAACCCTGCTCAAACTGCCAACCCTCAGGGTCATGAACTCATAAATAATTGCTGTTTGAAGTCACTAAACTTTAGAGTAGCCTATTATGCTGCAAATGGTAACTGACAGTCTCTTCCAGCTCTGAAATCTTACCTCCATTTTTTAAGGGTGGGAGCTCAACAGTCTTCAACTCAAAGTCGCTCTGAGTAGGCTTACCCTGAAAGTGCTTCTTCAGGGTCCAGCTCTTAGCCTTAACCATCGTGAGGCTCCTAGAACACAATGAACATGTAATCAGCTACCACGACCTCACTGGATCACATTGAGGCCAGATAGCACGACCATAACGCTTTCCACGTTATTATCTAACGCCAACCACATTCTTTTTTTTTTTTTTTTTTTGGTCTTTTTCCTTTTTATCGGTACCAGGGATCGAACTCACGACTGCCTGCTTGCAAGGCAGGCGCTTATGCCGCTGAGCTAAATCCCCAGCCCCAACCACATTCATTTAGGATTTACTGCCTCTGGTGCTAAGCTAAGCACTTCATAAATATGATATTTTATTCCCCTAGCTTCTCTGTAAGATAGGCATTGTTATTGCCAGCTTAGAGAAACTTCCAAAGCAAGGTACAACGTAAACTGACACAAAAATTCTTCCTTTGAACCACTTAGGCTACAATTTCTCTAGGGTAATGACAGTTCCAGGGCGTGCAAATGCTTCCAGTTTGTCATCTCTCATGAAGTAAATCCCCAGGAAAAGCATCAAACACAAAGAACCAAACAAATCCCCTGAAGGGTGGAGACATCTGTCCTACAGCAGTTTCAGAAATGCCTGAAAGCCACTGAGTGGCGCTGCTGCTCCACTCCGCTTTCAAGAGCGAAATTTAAACTTGTCGCCTCATAAAGTTAGCTAATTAAGAGTTCTGAGAGGCGCCGAACTTTGGGCTTCGAACTACTCTGCGTCACGTGGAACCTCCTCTCCGCCCAAGAACGCTACAGAGGAGCCCACAGCTGGCGACTTTACCCTGCAAGGGGCACTTCCACATTGCACGTCAACGGGGGCGGGTGTGGTCAACCCTTCTTCCTCGTCCTCTTCAGTTTTAAAATTCATTTTGAATTATCAGCAAATTGCATGCGCCGAGGAGGTATAATGTGATGCTTTGATACACAATGTAGCGTGCCTGAATCGAGCTGATTAACCTATCGATGATCTTATATACCTATCGTGTTTACGGTGCAAACATTTGAAACTGTAGTTATTTTGAAATATACATTGTTACACACTAGAGCTACCCAGCTGCGCAACAGACTCTCAGAAATCTCTTGCAGCTTGCTACGATCTGACCCTTTGTTCCCTGGGCCCGGAGTATAGCTCAGCGGTATATACACCTGCTTGGCAATCGCAAAGTTGTGTTTGATTCCTGGTACCGGGGGGGGGGGGGGGAATCCGAAACATTGTTGTCCCTTTCTTTCCAAAAAGCGACCGCCCTTAATTTAACTCGCCCCAGCGGAGGCTGGCGCAGCTCAGGAAGGGTCCCACCGCGCCCACCCCACTCCCCATCGCCCCCCTATCTACCTTCTCCGGCATACTCGCCCCAGTTTTGCAGTCACTCAGCTCCTGGTTCAGCCCCTTTCCAGGCGCTGGCAGCAATGGGGTGGACCGGAAAAGAGCGCTCCCCCTGCCCTTCCCTGTGGGATCCAGCCCGGGCCTTTCCAGCAACCAGCAGGGATCGGACGCCTGGCACCCAAGTTTCCGCGAGCGCCAGGCAGGGCTGGAGGGCGCGAGGAGGGGGAGGGCTGAGCAGAAGAAACGCTTCCCCACGGCTGCGCCCAGACACGCAGCGGCAAGGAAGACCACAGCAGGCGGGGGACCAAAAGGAGAAGCAGGACTTCGACTCACCAGAGTCTGCAGTTCCACTTCCAAGAACAACCTCGAAACCTGCTAGCCCTGCGGAGCCCGCCGGACTTGAATTTATGGCGCTGTGTACGAGAGGGTGGAGCATCTCAAGGGCGGGACTACTTCTGGATTCGGGATCCCGGAGTCACGGGAAGGAAATGAGGTCCCAGGGGTGCATGCAAGCGCACATCCAGTAGCAGAAGCTCCCATTAGAGCCCTGCTAATGGGTGGGTGATTCTGTGCCTGCGGCCGCAGCGCCCTCCGACAGAACCCAGTGCAAAGATGCCCCGTGGGAAGACCCAGCGGGGCCTGCGACGCGGTCAGGAAGGCTGCGAGCTCAGGTGCCCGGAGCGGCCGCTTGATCCCCAGTTTTGATCCCAATCTGCCTATTGTACGCCTACTTAGATTTCACGAGAAAGGTATTTTCCTCTGTGCATACTTTTTAGAGTCTTCCAGGTAGGAGCGAGCGCTTTTGCAGCCCACCCCAGCATCATAGAGGGCTTTGTCATCTCCTGTCTGCCAGGGAGGGATCTAGGCTGCAGTGGAGCACAGGGGAAAGTCGCTGGGTCTTTAGAGTTCTCTGCTTGTTGTAGCTTCTTGTCTCAGCCCGTCTACAAGAATGGAGATAACACCAATGCTTAACCCCCAGAGTCAGGGTGAAAATCACACACCTAGACCCGGGGAAGGCCTGGATTCATCTCAAGCTCCAGGATAAGGATTAAATATCATTTTTATACTGATTTTTTTTATTGGTACCTGGGATCAAACTCACTATCGTGCGTTGGCAAGGCAGACGCTTATGCCACAGAGCTAAATCCCCAGCCCCTAAATACCATTTTTTAAATAAAAAATTAAGTATCAAGTATTTAGCTCAGTACAGGTTTATGGTCAATAGTCCGTGCACGGTGGCTCTCAGTCTTGTAACCTGCCTCTGGCCCTGAGTAAATCCCAGGCCACCCACCCTGTATTCTATTTTACACTACCAAACTGTAGCACAGGCTTGTGCCAGTAATGTAATATAAATAGTGAAACAACACAAAGATGTTTAAAGGACTTCGAAACTTCCTGTTTCCACCTCCTTGAAGTAACTGTTACCTTAAGGAGTGCATGTTAATTACCCTGGGTCACCTAAACCACTTACCTGTCCTTATGTATAGGATTCTTCTTTTCTCCCTGCCAGGTTTTTGATTCACAAGGTGCTCAGTGAAAGATTCAAGAACTCCAAGAGATAAGACTTCACAGTTTTCCGCATAAGATAATGTAGTAGTAATTGGATGCTACTTGTACAGATTTGTCAGTTTCCCATCAAACATTGCTTGTTGACCTCAAAAGCTTTTCAGCAAAAGAGCTGAAGGAAATCTGAGTGTCTCTGAGAAAATCTATTAGTTTTGTTGCTACGGCTACAACAAGATACTATAGGCCAGTGGTTTAAACACCAGAAATTTGTTTTCTCAAAGTTATGGAACCTGGAATTTGAAGATCTGTTTGTATCAGTGGTGGGGAACCTGTGGCATACATGTTGTTTTCATGTTAACACAAAAGGTATTAACATATGAGTTGATTTTTGTAAAGTAAAACCTCAGTGTTCACGTTTAATTGCAGTGTTGGCAGTTTGTGATACATAAGTGGATTTTGGGTTGCAGTTTGGGCCCTCATCTCTGAAGCTGTTGGCAACACTGATCTGAACGTAGCTTTGCTTTCTCCTGAGGACTTAATGCTTGTGTTGTTGAGGGCCACCTTCTCCCTGTGTCCACACTCAGCTTTTTCTCTGTGAGTTCTAGCCGTAGTGTCTCTCTTCTTCCTACCTCCCCTCTGCTTTCTACTCCTTCTCTCCCCCTCGTCTTTTTCCTCATTTTCCTGTCTTCCTGTTTTGCTTTTGTTTTGTTTGTTTGCTTGAGACAGGGTCTCACTATGCAGTTCAGCTGGCCTTGAGCTCACCAGCCTAGGCTGGTCTCTAACTCACACAGATCTGCTTCCGCAGCCTCCTGGGTGCTGTGATTACCAGGGTACACCACCACACCTGGCAGTCCTCCTTTCCTTTCTCTTCCCCCTTTCCATTTCTTTTCCTTTTTCTTTTCTTCTTCCTTTTGTTCCCCTCCACCCTTTCTTCTTCCTCTTCCTCTTGCTTCTCCTCCTCATCCTTATTATCCTCCTCTTCCTTTTTCTTCTTGAATTGAAACCAGAGCCTTATACATGCTACACAAGTGATCTACCAAGCTAAATTCCCAGGCCCTTAAAAAAATTATTTTTAAATGCAGAGTCTTGCTGCTGAAAGGTTCTTGTCTTAGTAGAAATTATGGTGGTGGTCTAATGTGGCAAAAGGCCAAAGTGGGAATGCCTACCACTTCCTGCTTCTTCTTAGCCTTAAATGCAACTCCCCTTCCTATTTGCACATGAAGAAAACTCCAACCAGCTCCTCTCGCCTCATCAATGCCCACCCTAAGCGCCACCCCAGGTCAGAGGTTATGTGTGTCCCATGCCTTACATTCCAGGCAGACGAGGCCAGGCCTCTGGCAGTCATAGACTTTTCTCTGCATCCTTGGAATAAAGGCTATTTTTACTTTATATTCTCTCTTTCATCACACTGAAAACTCTTTCATAATGGTGCCGTGACTCAGAGTGAGTGGCTCCTGGGAATTCCTGCCAGTTTGAATCCCCCTGCCTAAGAACCACCTTTTTCTTCCTCCTGGACTGTTTACTTGCCCCCACTAATCTGCATGCAATAGTGACCTTCCTCACTCCATGCAGGTGGGCTACCATCCCGGGTTTTCTGTTTCCATTCCTTAGCAAACTTGTGCAGAAAACCCACCCTGTTGTCCCCAAACAGGGACACCAGTTTTCATGCTCCTTAGGCTGCACAGCGTGAGGCAAAACTGATATTTTTGTTCGCTGGGACCCCGCCCTATGGGTGACCCAGGGAGGAGAGTGGGTGTCACACTTTCAAAATAGGTGATGATCTCTTTTGTTAAGCGTGACCCAGGACAGTTTCCACATTCCTTGGGAGAGAGCTTTAAAGCTCTTATGTCCTGAGGCAAAGTTGTTCTCTCAGCTCACTTATAATTCAGTCATGGGGACCACTTCCTGTCCCCCGAAAAAACATACCTCTGGGGTACCTGGTTCATAACTGTGGTGCTCTTGGCCTCTAAAAGGCTATAAAAATCAGAAAGCTGATATTTGTTTATGCTTTTGTCACAATAGTGGCAAGTTGGCAGAAACCCTTCATTTTTAAGCCTTTTTCACTTTAAGGACGTGTCCTTCTCTCACTCTGCCTTGTATAATGGCCCTAATACTTCTGGGTTGCTCTGCTCCACCAGGATCTCTCCCTGCCCACCCGACCACTTTAGATGATGCAGCTCCTGTGTTTGTGACTCCTCCCCTGCATCTCTCATACCAAACCCCGCAGTCTTCTCAGCCAGAGGATTTTTTGCCCTCTGCACCACCCCCCCCTCCTCACCCACAGCAGCCTCTAATTCTTCCCTTAGTGTCTCTCTTCAGTCTCCAACTTCTCAATCCCCACCACCCAAGCCATCTGTTCTGTCAGAGGGTTCTTTGTCCCCTTCCCCTGCATCGCCATTTTCTCCACCTGTGTTGTGCGTTCCAGCCTTCTGGCAGGCCACATGGTTATCAGCAGCCACCCTGCTGCAGCTCATGTGGAAGACAGCTGCCATCTTGCGGCCCGCTGCCACATGCTAGGGTGCTGCCATCTTGCGACAGATCTCAGGGCCAATGGCTTCCCCCTTGTGGCCCCTTGTGTGATCAGCAACAGCCATCCTACTGTGGGTCACATGGTAACTGTCCAACAGCCTGTGTTTCCTTGTTGCATAGTGATGAGTGGCAGTTTTATAGCCAATCAATAGGCCACTCTATGGCCACAGCCTTCTCAGCCTCAGTCTCTACTCCTGCTTTGGGAACAGGATGGCTCTGTTCCCGAAGGATTAGGTGTTGGTCACATTCCTTTTTTCCTTTCTGAGCCATCTCCTCTCCACGTCCCTGGATTAAAGGCTATTTTTTACTTTATATTCTCTCTTTCATTGTGCCAAAAATTCTTTCAGCTACATTGCTACGTTCTCAAACTTTCTATGTTTTGCCTCAGTAGCTTGAATTACAGGCATGTGGTAATATACTTGGCTGTATCTTTCTTCATGAGGACGACAGTCATATTGGATTACAATCACATCTAAAGGCTTCAGTTTAATTATCACCCCTTTCAAGGATGTTTTTTAAAGTAAACTCACATGGATTAGTGTGGGAAGCCGCCTATGAATGGCGCCCATTTCCTGCTTCCGGGTTCTTCCCGGCCTGAACAAGCCCGCCAAATTGTCATATCTGCCCAGTTACCCGTGACGCTAGCCTATCAGCTTGTTAGGCGCGCTTCTCTGTGATTGGATACTGCTTCCCCTTATAAGAGGTTGTTCCTGCCCCCAACGGCGGAAGAGGAATCAACACCGAGGGTGGCGGACCTTGTCAGGTCCGGTTCGCTGTACGTAATAAAGTTTGAGAGCTGATCCTGCTCGAGTTTGGTCTCCTGTCTCCCGCGGCTCCGGTCATTTGGTGGCCCGCACGGGGAAGGTTCAGCGACGCGCGGGCGCGGCTGCTGTCACCTGCGGTACGACGGAGAACCCGGCTCAATAACAACGGAAGGCCCCGAGCACCTCTTCTCTTCACCCTGATCAGCTACGTGAGATACAGCGGTTCCCGGGACAGGTGAGTACTGAATCGCCTGGGTTGGGTGGACGCACCTAACAGATTTTGAGCGCCACACGGGTGGACGCCGGTCCTTTTTTTTTTCTTTCCCCTTGCATTTGTTTCGCTTTCGCTTTGCCATTATGGGCAACGCTGCTCGCAAACCCCTCGCTGACTCCCTAAGAGTCCTGCTGCGGACCCGAGG